TCTGACACCTTCCCAGGTATAAGCCAGTGCCAGGCACTAAAGCTCCTATGGGGTAAAAGTTCCAGGCTCTGGAGTCACAGCTCTGCCTGGTTCTGGCATTGAGCAGGAGCTGCCAGAGCTTCACAGCTGACATTTGCTTTGCAGCTGGGAAAGGGCAGAGTGTGAAACCCCTGCAAACTTTGAAAAAATTACTTTAATGCATTGCTCAGGTTTATGTTGGATGAAAGATCAATTTGGGTCACACATTAATAACTTGAAAACCACCTCCTTTATTCATCCTGTCTGTAAGTTCCAAAGTCTAAGAAAAATCACTCTTTTCTCATCACTCTGCATTTCCCACATGTGTTAAAGAAGGAGACTCCCCCTGGCATTGATTGGCCACATCCTTCTGCAGGAAATCCAGGGGTTCTTGTGAGCGTCCATAAACACAGGGGTTCCTACTGGAGTGCTGCTGATTTTCTCCTCAGGAGGAGAAGCTGTGGGAACTGACAGCAGGAGGGAGAGCAGCCATCCCCATGGATGTGGCATCAGGACAGGGCCTGGGATGCCTTGGTGTCCTCTGGAAACTGTGGGCTTGGGGATGGCACTTCCTTGGGGTGACAGTAATGACTGTGGAGCTGGTTGTCTCTTCATTGGCCATTCTGTGAGTAAAGAGTCACTCCATCAGAGTGTTTTCTCTGGAATAAAAGTGGCATGAGAGAATGGGGCAGCAGGTTTTATTGAATACATGATAGGATGGCTGTAATGGAGAGGGAGAGAGAAAATTGTACTTGCCATTTCTAACTCCTGCTCAGCTGCATTTTTGAAAAATACCTTTAACATCTCATAAAATCCCCATGTATCTCCCTCCCTAAAGAGATTGAGTGTAAATATGTCATGTCTTATTTTGTCTATGCTTCAGTGCCCTCAGGCAACAGAAATCTCTCAGGCTGGCAGTTTGTTCCAGGCTTGCTGATTATTTTTCTCTACCTCATCTGTGGGTTGCCTCAAGAAAAGTCTTTGAAGAGACTCTGCACAGAACCTATTTATGTGCCCTGCAAGGAGAGACAGGGGGAGGCTGTGCAAGTGACTTTACTGAGGAGGAGCCAGCACAGGCAGGAGTATTTTAACATGATAAATACAAAGCTTCTCACTCGCTGCAGGGAAGTTGTGAACATTCCCTTAAACACCAGGCACAGCACAGAAGCTGAGTTAGGAATGGCCTTGAAAGTTCTCATTGCTTCCCACTGGCTCCTGGGAATCTGCACCCCTGCTGATGTGCTGAGCCCTTCCCATCAGGGCTCTTCCTGCTCAGGTGGTTGGAACTTGTTCCTGATTTCCAAAGAGGTTCCTGTGGCTGGAAAATCTGTGTAACATTTCACCTTCATCTTCTCGCTTTGCTCCCACAGCCGTGTGTACTCTGTGTGATGCTGGCTCCCTGCTGCAGTTCCACTGCCAACAGCAGCAGAATAGTGAGGAATAGTGAGAGTAGGAACATTTGCCCAGGGGGGCGAGGCTGGACAGAGCTCCCATTCCTCACCTCGAATGCTCTGTTGCACCTCCTGGTGCTGACTGATACAAATCCAGGTCTGTCTGTGTCGTGCAGGCCAATGGCAAGTGCTGGGTTCAGGCCATCTGAGGTGAGCTTGTCTCCTCCTGTCACACCACCTTGGCTCTACTTTTACTGCAGTCAGCCTCAGAAAAGGCAAATCATTGCAGTAATTAATTTCACTGCAGCTAATTTGTGTTTTTAGGGAAGGAGAAGACTAAGCCTCTATTTTAAAACAAACAGAAAACTCATTGTCTCTGGAAAGAAAAAGCCAGGATCCTTACTGGAAACATGCTAAAAATAGACCTTTTCATCTCGAGCTGTGTTTGACCAAATAATTAGGAAAGCAAACTCCTCAGAGCTGTTTTAGATTGCTGGTTTTCTGTTTGGGAGGGCAGCGTGGCCCTGGCAGTGGGAGCAGACCTGGCAGAACCCGTGTGTGCTCTTGGTGCTGCCCCGTGCAGAGCTGTCCCAGGGAGGAGGAGCAGGCTCCAGTCCATGTGTGCCTCACTGGGACACTGCTGGCACACCTATCTGCCAATTCCAGGGCCTGGGAATTGTGAGGGAGAGTCTGAAAGTGCCTTGTGCTTGAGTTTGTCAGCAGACACTGTAGAACCAGCTGGGATGGTGTCCTGGTGTCCCACTCAGCCCCCAGCCCGTGGTCTGACCATTTCCAAATGGAAATCTGCCTGTCAGAGCCTGTTCCAGCTGCTGTGGGACTCAGACACATCCAGGCCTTCCCTATGGACAACATCCTCCTCGGTGAATCCAGCCCAGACCCTGCTCAGGCAGCAGGAACAGGACAAGGAACCTGGTCCTGAGCTTTTGCCTCATGGCAGCCACAGCTGCTTCTTGTCCTCTGGCAGCTCTGGAAGGTGGATGCATAATTAAATAATGAGGGGATTTGCTTGATCGATTCTGCAGAGATTTCTCTGCTCAGAATGCATCAGCATTCCGTGAGGAACAAGGAAATTTGTGATTTATTTCACTGGCATTTTTTTTGTCTTTGCTTTTAAAAGATGCCTGTGCTGGTACATGGAGTTCTCCAGTGAAATCCCTGTCCCAGATTCCAACAGCCAGAACATTGTCCAGGCACAGTGGGCAGGGGCTGCATGGGGGGATGCCCTGAGGGAAATCCTCTCCACAAACAGTGGAACTTGGTGAGGGAAGGGCTGGGAGTTGAAGGCAAGGAGCTGAACTGCAGGGAACCGTGGGAGGGGGAGACAAAACAATTCACAGGATGTACCAGTAGAGTCTGGTTTGCTGCTGGATTCCTTGTTATTGCCATGGATGTGGCATGAGAAGCAGAACTGGGTATTTAATCGTGGTATCAAGGACAAGACAAAGGTCACTTTCTGTTCTCATTATTAATAATTTATACTGCAAGTAATTTCAGTAATAATCAGTGTTACCTGGCTGTATCTAAACCCATGATAAATGCATTTATCCCTCCCTTGGGGCCCATAACCATGGGTTTAGTCCCAGCACTTGTATGCACTGTGCTCCCCAGAGCACAGCATTGTGGTTTACAGTGACAAATGGATTCAGAAAGAGGTAAAGGTGTCTGGAATTGAACATTTCCACAGGAGCTGTTCTAGTGGGAAATGACAGCATTCAGTATCTCCCTGGTTAGTGACTGGGCAGTGACAGAGCAGACTTGATGGATCTTTTTCACTTTAACAGTAAATACTGATTTCTCAAGAGAAAACTTGAGAAGACTTTCAGAAAAAGGCACTAAGTGGTTGGGAAATGTCTCATTCTCCAGACCTGGAGCGTTCATTCCAGCAAGTGGAGATTGCTCATTCTCCCCCCAGGTGCCTCATGTTCAGTCTGACAAATCAAAGAGTTTGATTAAACAGGACATAACCTCGCAGTGCTGGAATCAGCTTTTATTTAAACTCTGTTTTTCATATTCTGTAGATTTCACAGTGAGTCACAGTCACTTGGGATTTCATACAATAAGGAGTATAATAACACAAAAACCTTCTCACTACTCTTTCAAGTCATAAATACCAGGTGTCTAAAATTCTGTAAGGAAGAGGCAGTAAGAGTTAACAAGCTGAGCACACTTGGCTGATTTCTGCAGGGTTTTGGGGTGAGGCTGAGCACTAACAGCACTTGTTCCCCGCAGCGCGCAGCCGGGGCCCTGGCCGTGCCTCTGTGCGCCTTCCAGGGCACCGTGTCCCTGCAGGCCCCCGGCGGCAAAACGCTCTCCTTGTCCACCTACGAGGTGAGCTCCCAGGGGCAGAAAATAACCCCCACGTCCAAGAAAATCGAGGTGTACCGCTCCAAAAGCGTCGGGCACGAGCCGAGCCCGGGGGAGCCTCGGGACGCGTTCGCTGACACGAGCGTTAAGATTCACCTGGAGGTGCTGGAGATCTGTGACAACGAAGAGGCCCTGGACACCGTGTCCATCATCAGCAACATCAGCCAGTCCTCCACGCAGCCACGGTCACCATCCCTGCGCTACTCCCGCAAGGAGAACAGGTTCGTGTGCTGTGAGCTGGGGGAAAGTGCCTCCTACTCCCTGCTCATCCCCTCGCACAGCCCCGGCAGCGACTTCAGCATCTCCATCCCCGACACGGTCGAGGCTCATCGGCGGAACAGCCAAAAGCAGCACTCGGCCAGGGCTGGGTACCAGGAGGAGATACAGCTGCTGAACAAAGCCTACAGAGAGCGGGAGGAGCAGGGCAGCAGCAGCTAAAAGGTGTTTAATCCACACCCTCAACTGCTCTGACAGCCAGTGCTCCCCTCGCCTCGAGTCACCCGGGCAAATACAAACAGCAGCTACTTTTTCCTATCATACAATTTTATTTGGGTGCAGCGGTGAATCAATTCAAACTCTTAATGCTGTATCAAGGGGATAACAAATACTCAAGTGCTTTACAGCTTTCCATAGTGGATTTTAAGTTATTTATTTATATACCTATTTATTTGAGGAACATGTGTGTCTACAGAGAATCAAATAAAGTCTTACATCCCAGCTTTGGTGTTTATTGGCACTGGGTGGCATGCCTGCAGGAGCCTGTGGAAATGAGGGAGCAGCTCCAAAGGTGGGAAGGTACAGCAGTTTTGATTCACTTGCAGTTCTTGTCAACATCTAAATCCACATAATACCATAAGTACTTTAATAACACCTGGACATCACTTAAAGCTCATTGGCTGCTCTTTGTTTCATGGATTAAATCTCTCTTCTTGTTGATTAGGCCTGAAAGTAGAGCAAAGATCATACTTCGCATACTACATTCATAAAACGATAAGAAAACGATACAAATTCCCCATTCTGTTACACACCGGCCGGTCGGGGGCTGGAGCCCGCACCCTGCGGGGCGCGTCAGTGCGAGGACTCGAACCCGGGTCCCACAGGCTCGGGTTAGGCCGGGCCGGGACTCGAACCCAGGTCTCTGAGCGCTGCGGGCGGGCGGGCGGAAGCGCGGCTGCGGATGAGGCGGGCGGTGGCGGCGGATGAGGCGGGGCCGCGCCGGGCCGAGCCGTGCCNCTGAAGGGCCGCGAGATCGGGCTGTGGTACGCCCGCAAGCAGGGCCAGAAGAGCCGGGACGCCGACCGGCAGCAGGTGAGGGACGCGGGGACGCGCTCGGGGGCGGGGGTGTGTGCCCGTGCGCCCTGCAGCTGCCCCTGGGCCAAAGCGCAGGTTTCTGGTGGTGCCGGGGAGCTCGGCAGGCTCGGGCACACACACCCCTGCTAACGCAGTTTGTGCACGGCTGGGGACGCTGATGGACGCTGTGCTCCCTGCCCTAGAGAGCTGTCGTGCGCATGGACGAGCGCAGGGAAGAGCAAATCGTGCAGCTGCTGAATTCTGTCCAGACTAAAAACGACAAAGAGCAAGAAGCCATGTCCTGGTGGTCCGGGGATGAAGAAGGGTAAAGAGATATAATTACCGGTTCTTTTGTTTGTATTGAATTGCACAACCTTTCCATAAGCTGGCAGGAAGATGTGTCAGAAGTTATTTACCTTTATTGAGTGTATTGACTCAACAAATGTACTCCAGTATTTCCACATGTATTGTCGCACTGAGACAATGAGATGGTTGTAGTCAGTGCTGTGAAACTCTTTCATTATTGCTGAGTTTGGAGTGTTAAATTTCTACTCAAACTCATAAAACTTTTAACTCATCTCAGGGCCTATGACAGTAGATATATGGGATTTTTCAGTTCCCTTGGCTTCTGGAATTACTCTTCCAGAGGTGGCTTTTTGCTTCTGTTTTCAGGTATTGTGCAGTCTTGGGGCATTTGTGCAGTGTCTGAAGCAGGGTCTGTTCTGGACTCATTAAAGATTTTCAGGAACAGCTGGAATAGGCCAGTGTGCTGAAACGAGGGGGTTTGGCCTCCATTTGCTGAGGGATCCAGTTAGGGGGCAGTGGATTAAGCAGTAATTCTCTGATGATGTTTTGTTGCTTTGTAACTTCATTTGGTACAAAAGAATGTGTTGTTTTTTAGATCCTGATGTCAGGTTTTTGGTGGTTGGTAGTCTGAGACTTTAATGTAGTTTGGTTTAATGTAGTTTAATGGCTTTCATTTCATTTCATAATGGTTTAATGGCTTTCACTGTAGTGACAGACCCAGAGCATCTGTGGCTCCCCTGGGTCCCTGGCAGTGCCCAAGGCCAGGTTGGATATTGGGGTTTGGAGCCCCTGGGCCAGTGGGAGGTGTCCCTGCCATGGCAGGGGGACACTGGAGGGGCTTTAAGGTCCTTCCAACCCAAACCATTCCATCATTCTCTGTTGCCATGCACTGTTGGTTCATTAACTGCTGGATTAACCTGCGCCCTGCATGTGGCCAGGCACCACTGGGGGAATCTGAGGTTCTTGTTCTGTGATTCCAGCCCTGCTCCAGAACAGCCTGCCAAAGTGAAACCACATGCTGTAAAAGCTCCTGTGAGACAGAGACCAGCCTGGGAAAAAACATCCCTGGATCTGGATGTGGAATATCTATGTGAAAAAACCGAGCAGGATGCTGATTTAGATGAGCAACTTAAAGAAGACTTAATGAAGAAGAGATCTGATCCCAGATATATTGAAATGCAGGTACTTCACCCTGTATTAAGTTGAAAACTTTTCATTGGATTTTTTTAAATTAAGCTAACCTGAAAATGTAATATTTTGCAATTTACTAGAAAGTTGTCCTGGTGTTACTTTTGCTAAAAAATATCTCTAGAATTTGTAAAATTCATACTTAGTAATAGAACAGTGATTAGAAATGGGAAATTACAAATTTCAGAAACAGTTAGAATCTGAAATTTGAGGCTGACATGTTGTTTCATTGGGTGGGTTTCTCTCTTTTTTATGGATTGTGTCCCTGCAGTTGTGTCTGAAACTGAAATCACAGCACTGGGCTTTGAAGGAATGGCCTTCAAAACAGAGCAGAGGTTTTGTTTTAAATAGCCGCAGACAGAAAATTGTTTTACCCTGAACACCAGCTCTCTTTTCCTTACCAGGCCCTGCTCTTAACCTGTTTATACTTACCTTATCGTGTACTGAACTCTTGGGCTGAAATATTTTTTCTAAATTGAACAAAACTGAAACCACACATGGAATTAAAGTTATTTCCCATGGTCCTGTGTTTATACAAGTGCTGCTGAGCAGTTTGTCATTATTCTGCAGTTTAGAGGTGAAATCTATCCTACTGCTTCAGTGCTGAAAAGGTGTTTAAAGAGAAACATTTTTTTCTTTTTCCCCAGAGATTCCGAGAGAAGCTCCCCTCATACGGGATGAAAGAGGTGAGTGTGTTGAAAGAGAGACTTGGTGGTGCTGTGCTCCAGAGCAGGGGAAAGCAGCTGTGTGCCCTGTGACAGGCAGCAAGCCTTGGTGGCCTTCAGGAAGGGGAGAAGCCTCCCAGATTCCCACCCTGAGAGGGATTTCTATCCAGCCAGTGCCAGGAGCTCTCTGACCGTGATACGGGGCTCAGTGCAGCGTTCTCATGGGAACATAACTGGCAATATCAGGGGAATACATGGCTGCTACATACAGCTCATAACAGGTCTTCTTTTTCTGCCAGTTAATCTTCTAGAAGGTTCCTGGTTACTCAGATTGTTATGCTTTCTTCTGTGTATAAAATTGTGCCCTTTGTTGAACAGTTAGCCACTTTAGAATTGAATATAATGCAAATTAAGCTTTTTTAGCTTTAACCACAGAATTAATGGGTGCACTGCTGGCCCTCAGTGCCTTTAGTTTTCCAGCCACAGGATAAGGTCAGTGACAGTAGGGGCTGTTATTAATTGGTGTTAATTCTTAGGCTGATATCCCCTGGAAGCAGTAGAAATGGAGTATTCTGATGTTTGCTTTAGCAGTCTCAGTGGGTGATTAGCGAGCTCCTTCCTACAGTTCCTCTATTTGCCATCATGTCCCTTCTTTTAGCATTTGTTTCTTAAAATAGTCATACTCCCCTTAACAGTCCTTGGGGTGGGGAGAAGGAGGCTGGGAAACTGTTCCTGTTGGTACAAGAAATGTTAAAATATTGTGCTGAAAACCTTTAGTTTGTGCAGGCTTGGAGTCCAACAGGGCAAACTCTTATGTTCAGTCTCCAATGATCTGCAGGAACCGAGCAGGAAGAAGAAAGGTTAAAAATGTATTTCAGGCTTTCATTTTAGTCCTTTCACGTTTACATACAGGATCTAAAGTATTTAAAGCTATTGTTGAGGTTGGGTATGCTTTAAACCCTAACATGGGGAATGCAAATGTGCAGAAATTACTTCTGTGAGGTTTAAACTAAACTTTTGTAGCATTACAAGAAGCATCTGAGCATTTTTTGAGCTGCTGATACTTTGCTCATGAGTTCATCCCACTGGTGCAGAGGATTCTTAAGATTCTCTACGATCTGTTTGCAAGGGCAGCACAGTAATTGCCGTGTCTTTGTGTGGGCCAGGAGCTGGTGAAGCTGATCAACAGCAACCGCGTGACGGTGATCAGCGGTGAGACGGGCTGCGGGAAAACCACGCAGGTGACCCAGTTCATCCTGGACGATCACATCGAGCGTGGCCTGGGCTCCACCTGCAGGATCGTGTGCACCCAGCCCCGCAGGATCAGCGCCATCTCTGTGAGTGCCCCTTCCCAGTGCTCGGCTTTGTCCCCAGTCTGCTGCAAAGAGCCAGTCTGTCAGTGTGCCCTGCTCCGATATTCACGAGATGTCCGTCCGCAAAGCACTGGCACTGCAGCCTCCTCCTTCCCTCACTCTAGCTCATGGGTTCTATCTGTGATTTTAATGGATTTGGGCAGTGCAAATGGCAGTTAAGATGAAAACTAATGTTGTATCAGGGCCTGGAGAGGTGTGTTAATGAGCAGGAAAGAATCTGGCCTTCAAGTGCTCAGCAGTTGCTCTCCCTGATAGTTCAGTGTCAGAGCTCACCCTGCTGAAAGGGGAGTGTGCTGCTAATGCCCCTGTCCCTGAGTTGCTGCTCTCAGGGGAGGAGAAAAGGTGCTTTTCAAGGCATTTCTTTGTTATTTACAGACCAGAGGTGAGCAGCTCGTGGCAAGGGCCTGCTGTTAGCCCAAGGAGACAATTAAAAAAGTAGTTCTAAAGAGAAATAACTGTTTTCCTGCTGATATTTCTCCCTGAAGGAATTCCTTTGAGGAAGGAATGAGGTTTCTGAATTTTAGGAAAAGGTTTGAGTGCAGTTACTGTGTTTTGTGCCCTGTGTGACAGTGACTGGCCTAAGTTAGGCTGTTTCTAATAAATCCTGTTTTCAGCTCTTCTACAAGGTTCTGCTGTGGGCAGAAATAAAACTGATGTCCCTAATCAATGAATTTCAAGGAAAAGTGAAAATGCTGAAGGGGAGAATGCTCCAAACCATATTTCTATGGAAAGCTGTGTATTTGCTGTACATATTTATGCATCAATCCTCTGGGACCATGTAATAGGTGCAGCAACAGCAGCTTGCACAGGAAAAGCTTTCACGTTTGTAGTCGGCTATAACTGAAAAATCTGAAGTGGTACCACCACACCAGAACCCTACTGTTGAAGCAAAACTGCTGGTGAGAGGGGAGCTCAGCCCTCACAGCATTTTAATTGGAGTCATAGAATGTGTCTGCTGTGTGTGTGAGTGCCCTCTGTGCTGAGCTTGGAGAGCTGCAGCAGGTGGGGATCTGCACCTCAGCGTGCAGGAGATGGCAAAGGGTGCCTGGGCCTCTCCCTGCTCCATTCCCCACCCACAAAAGTGATGCAGCAGTGGCCTCATTCCTTGTTCCTGCCCTTGTGCTGTGAGTGAGGCATATCTGCATCATGTCTGCAGTGGCACCTGCAGCTGGGGTTCAAGGTTCTAAAGTAGTTTGTTAAATACGGAAGAGAACTGAGGAGTTCTTATTGTGTCTCTTTCAGTCGGTTGCCAAGGAAACAAGGTTCAATTTTGTACTGTACCACGGGAATTGTCCTGCAGTGGCTCCAGTCAGATAAGTAAGAGCTCCTGTTTAATGAGACACTGAATGCAATTATGAAATGAGTCCTGAGCTGTTCCAGTCATGGCTCTGCCTTTTATTTTTCCTAAAAGCAAAAGTTTAACTTCTGCCTCTTCTATTTTAGGCACTTGTCCAGCATCAGTCATGTAGTTCTTGATGAAATCCATGAAAGAAATCTTCAATCAGATGTTTTAATGAGTATTATTAAAGATCTTCTGAATATTCGACTGGATCTGAAAGTTATACTGATGAGTGCTACTTTAAATGCAGAGAAGTTTTCTGAGTACTTTGGTAGGTGAAGTACTTCCTAGAAATATTCATCTTCAGTAATTTAGGCTCCTACAGTATAGTGTAGTTCTCGAATTATATAATTGATTTGTATCAAAAGAAGAAATTACTTCAGTTTTACAAATATCTGCCAGCTGCTGGAGATGCAGTTTTATCTCATTACAACCCAATATTGCTTCTGGTTTTGCATTTCAGACACTTCATGGAAACAGAATCCACAGAGTGTTTTCCTAGTGAATATTTACCATGTTTTAGCATTCTTGCTCTGAGTGGGCAAGCAGATTAAACTTTGAGTCGTTCAGTCTCCCAGCTTTTTCCAGTAGCTGGAAGCAGTTGAACATTCTGCTGTGCAGAATACTGCTTGCTGCTGCCTGTGCTTTTTTTATTCAGCAGCCTTGTTTGGGGGTGAATTTGACATCTTCCCTGACAATTGGAAATGTCCTGTAGACATGGCAGCTATATTGCAGAAATAGTGAGGAATGTTTATTGCTTCTGTTCTTTCCATGCAGTATGTCATCAGTAGTTTTAAAACCGAGTTCTGCCTCCCTCCACAGACCATTGCCCAATGATTCACATCCCTGGATTTACCTTCCCAGTGGTGGAATATCTGCTTGAAGATGTCATTGAGAAGTTGAGGCAAGTGTTTTTTCTGAACATCATTTCAGAGAGTGTTTAGGGGGGGTTTGGCTTAGTTTACGTGAAGAATTGCCTTTATTTTTCAACAGAAAACCTTCTAAGAGGGTCTTGATTAGTAACTACAGGTGGCACTCAGCTACCTGGGAATGTTGGCTTGAGGGAGAGAGCAATTTTGCTTGCTGTGGTGAAATTTCAGGTCTCCAAATCAAATTAGTCTTTCTTGCCTTTCACTTTTTTCCCCTACATGTTCTCATGCTTACTAGGATTGGTCCCTGCTTTTGTAAGATTTCTGTCAGAAGAGGAACTGAACCGTTCTTACACATGGTGTAGCTCAAGCACAGCTTATTGTCCATGGTTTGGAGAGCTGTGCAGCTGCTTTAATTCCCTCAGTTTCAAATGGAATTGTGTTTGCTCCTCCTGTGTAAAGGTACACCCCAGAGAAGATGGATCGCCGGACGCACTGGAGGAAGGGCTTCATGCAGGGCCACGTGAGCAGGCCAGAGAAGGAGGAGAAGGAGGAGATCTACAGGCAGCAGTGGCCAGGCTACCTAAGGCAGCTGCAGGGCAGGTTGGGCCCAAGTTTCTCTTCTGCTTTCAGTTTTCAGTCAGCTCTGAAGTGAGAATGACAAATTAGTGCTATATTATGTTTCTGGGCTTTAATAATAGTGGCTGCTGTGGAAAATGGTGATGGAATTGCCTGTACAGTTTGCTGACAACCAGTGAAGTGCTTTAGAGACAGCAGGATTAGCTCCCTTTGCCTCTGAGTTGTTCAGGTTAAATTTCAGTTCATTACCCAAATACAAATTGTCAGTCCCTGGCTCATCGATGAGGAGAGAGGCCGTGTTCAAAGATAGTTCAGTCATGACATGGAAATTCTTCAAGTGTTCTGAACTGACAATGATCACACTGAGCTAACTGTGGAGGAGACTTTGGAGGAGCAGGAATTGCTCAGAGAACTGAGCTGGTTGGAGGTGGGTTGGTGGCTGGGTGGCTCACTCAGAGCCAGGCAGCAGGAGCAGGAGCCCTGGCTTTGCAAGGGACCAGTGCCTGTGCTTTCCCTGCCACAGGTATTCAGCAAGTACAATCGATGCCCTGGAGATGATGGATGATGACAAGGTGGACCTGGACCTTGTAGCAGCACTGATCAGACACATCGTGCTGGAAGAGGAGGTACAGTGGGACTGAGCTGGGGACACTGACTTTGGCTGGTCACACAGAAAGAAGGGAAATTCTTGGTTGCTCTTCTAAGTAAGTGAACAGCTTTGAATTACTCTTACATTCAAATAAATACAGGCAGGTAGCTCTTCTATAGAAAAAACCCCTTGATAGACTGTTCCAGGCTGGGTCAGTGAGGTTTCAGATCTCACATGCCCACCATGTATCAATGTGCAAGGAGCTGGCTGTCTGCAGTGTGTGATGTGTTCTGACCTCTCTTCCCTTCACTGCCTCTTTTCTCCATAGGATGGTGCAATTCTGGTGTTTCTGCCTGGCTGGGATAACATCAGCACTTTGCATGAGATCTTGATGTCTCAAGTCATGTTTAAGTCAGGTAAAACCCAAACTCTGTGGGTGTTCTGGCAGTGGCACTGGGGGCAGACTCCTGCATGGGGTGGCTGCAATTGCACTGGATTAATTTTTTCCCTTGTCTCCTCTCCAAAGTGTTCAGCAGTTTTTGTGTGTCTGTGGTATCTTTCCTCTGCTAACAACAACTCATTTTTCTCAGTGTGGGAATGGCAATTGGAAAAACAATCTGACATGCATCTTCTTCCTCTTGTCCTTTCCTGTTGCTGGGAGAACTCCCATCCAAAACTAAACTCCATTCTGTGTGTGCTGCCTCTGCACTTCATCCTTGAGCAGCTTCCCCTGCTTTGCTGATAGTTCCCTTCAGTCCTGTTGATTTGAGAAGCCTTCTTGCAGACTCTCAAGTACTCTGTGCCTGTGTGACATGCTTTAACTTGTCCTTTTGCATCTCTCACATTTCCATCTCACCTTAGCTGGGCTCTTGGCTGTTCAGATGGTGCCTTGCACTGTGCTTGCATGCATTCCATAGATGCAGAATTCCAGTTTATTGAAAGATTGAGTGTCAGTTTGTGTATTAAACTTGACCAATTATTAAATAACTTCAGTATTGAAAAAGGAAGTCTAAATTGCTATACATAACTTCATATATTTTCTTGAACTCATCATGTCATAGCATCATAAAAAAGGCCTTTATACCTTTCTACTTTAGAATTTGCTATTATGCTACAAATACCTGTGATCTCAGAGCAAGAAGCAGTAGCCTGACTTGCAGCCTATTTTCTCTGTTCTTCATAATTGATTTAATAGATTTTCCTGTAAAATTGGAAGTTTCTGTGCTTACACCATATCTTTTACTGATTTTTAACTTTCAGATAGGTTTATTATCATACCTTTGCATTCACTGATGCCTACTGTTAACCAGACTCAGGTATGCTTCTCTTTTATTGCAATATTTCACAACTACAAAAAAGAAAAAGAATGAAGCACATGTTTGGTTTTGGCAAAGACATAAATGGGCCCTGGATAATTACAGGTGTTCAAGAAGACCCTGCCAGGAGTGAGGAAAATCGTGATTGCAACCAATATTGCAGAGACCAGGTAAGTGCCTGCCTGTCCTGAGCCAGGAGGGCACACAGGAAGCTGTGTCTTTAACAAAAGAAATGGAAGTGATAAGTATAAACCCGTTTGATGTTCCCAAAAATATGTTTCTGTGTTTTATAACACTCTGTCTTTAGAAATATTTCTAGACTAAACAGAGTTTTCCTATAATTGTTTAAAACAATTCAACAAATACATTGTTTTGAACAATTAAACTACAGGAATGCTAAACAATTGCTAGAATGACTTGTACAGGATAATCTGAGCTGCCTGTCCTCTCTTCACAGTCCAAGCAGGGACTTCTGCCACACCAAAGAGAATAAATCAGCTCTTTCTTGAGCTGCTCACTAACATAGTTCTTAATGAAATTCCAAAGACAGATTTTTAATTGCTGACTGTTTGGGAGGGAATAAAGAGAGGCCAAACCCAGTCCTAGGTCACACTTGGAAAAAGTTGCTTTTTTTTTCCTCTTTTTTTTTCAACAGCATCACAATCGATGACGTGGTGTTTGTAATAGATGGGGGGAAGATAAAGGAGACTCACTTTGACACCCAGAACAACATCAGCACCATGGCAGCAGAGTGGGTCAGCAAAGCCAATGCCAAGCAGAGGAAGGGTCGAGCAGGAAGGTAGCAACAGTGGGGTGCTTAGGGAGGTTTGGGGATGTTGAGTTTCCAGCAGTGCTGAAGGTTCTTTATTATTTGCATGTGCTGGCACTTCTGCCTCCTGTTCCTGGGCAAGGAATGATTTCCTTCTCTTCCTAGGAAGCTGAATTGACTTGTGTTGTGTTTAACTCTAGAGTTTCCCTCCTATAGAAGAATATCCTGCATTTTATTTTAATTTTTTCACTGTTCTCACATCTGATTTATGAGGCTGATATAGTAAAGTAGAAATGATGTAAAAATTAATTTCTGTGTTCTCTATGCCTTTTTCCTGCTGATGGCTCTGTGTTTCAGAAGAGTGACATGGCTTTTACAATTGAATGCACTTCAGTTCTAATTCCTTGAGCAGTTTTGGGAAGCTCTTTGTAAGCAAACAGAACCATAATGTCACAGTTTCATAGGGGAAAGAAACCCCCAACAAGTGACCAAACCCCAAAGAATTGTTTCTTTAAATGATTGCAGAGTTCAGCCAGGCCACTGTTACCACTTGTACAATGGACTGCGTGCCAGCCTCCTGGATGATTATCAGCTACCAGAGATCCTGAGGACACCCTTGGAAGAGCTCTGCTTACAGATCAAGGTAAATGGAGGAATCTTCAAATATATTTATTATCTACTTTTCCATTGGGATAAGTGGTTGAGAGAGTAAGTTAATGCAACTGTGAGCTTAGGGTTGTTAAACCAAAATTCTATTACACCAGAAATGCAGTATATTTAGCCAATAATTACAGCACCTTTTGTAAATGCACGCTTGTATCTGGGTGCATCAAACCCAGGGAAAATAGAATTATCTGGTATCAATAAAAGGTGAAGTCCACTAACAAAAATTTGGGCTGTGCTGACCCCCAAATATCACATACCATTCAATCAGAGAATCTTCAGTGAGAATGCCAGTGAGTCAATTTATGTGATTTCTTAAGGAATTTTAATACAAAGTAGTTTTAGAACTGGTGTGAATTTCCCTTTTTGACAGTTTGCATTGAATTCCTTATGCAAGCAGAAGGAATGCCATGTATGTGTGAACTGAATGAAGAGTAGATCCTTCTGCTACAAATTTCATCACTAATACATTGTTTTTGTCCCAAGTTTTTAACTAAAGAAATTCCAACTCAAGCTGTGAATTACTCACACTATTTCAATGAGTGTGGTTACTGCTGACCAATTATAGGCAACAGTCTTTTTCTCTGGTTGTTGTAGGCTTTTGTTGTGATTTTTCTTTCAGATCCTGAAGCTTGGTGGAATTGCCAATTTTCTTAGCAAACTGATGGACCCCCCATCTCGTGATGCTGTGATGTTGGCCATAAATCACCTCATGGAGCTGGTAGGGCATTGCTTCATGTGCAGGATTGTGTGTTCAGAGCTGTGGCACTGCGTGCTGCCAGGCAGCTCGGGCCATTGCAGCCCCTTGTCCTTCATGTCATTGTTCCCTTGGGTGCTGGGCAAGGAGAGGTTCACGGCACCTTAGTTCTGCTTGCTCCAGTGATAACTGTAGAAATGAGCTGTAGCCATAAATAGGAACATCTGGTTTGGATATTGGTGGGTGATATCCATGTACCAGTGGCTTTTCTGAGGAAATCCTCCCCATTTCACATAGCATGTTTGTTCTTTCCTTTGTGCCCTTGTCGTGGCAGAATGCTCTGGACAGGCAGGAGGAGCTGACTCCCCTGGGTGTCCACCTGGCACGGCTGCCCGTGGAGCCACACATCGGGAAGATGATCCTGTTTGGAGCCTTGTTCTGCTGCCTGGACCCCGTGCTGACCATTGCAGCCAGCCTCAGCTTCAAGGACCCTTTTGTCATTCCTCTGGTAAAGTCTCACAGATGACAATTCCATGTAGGAGTTTAAGAATCTCAGGAGGATGCTGGGACTTAGTGAGGTGTTAGAGTTTAAGAGCACTTTCATTAATGTCATGGTAATTACATTTTTATTAGTGAGATTGCCCTTGCATACTATGAGTTAGCATTTTTCCTGTGGAGTATTGGAAATAATTATAATTTTCATGTGTTACATACAAAGTACTGCTGTACAGATGTAACTGAATTTGGAAAAGAAAACTGTCGTGTCAGTCTGGATATTATATAGGTTCTGATTTTTAGGGCAAAGAGAAAATCGCAGATGCAAGAAGAAAAGAACTGTCAAAGAACTCGAAGAGCGACCATCTGACTGTGGTGAATGCTTTCACTGTAAGCATGTTTTTGTGTGGGTTTTATTTATTTTCTACAATTTTAATTTGGATAATATAGATGATCCTAAGGGAGAAGCTGATTAGTTTTTGCTTTGTAGGCTTTTTTGTTTGGCTTCTAAGGAAACATAAAACCAAACTGATTTTCATCTAATTGGTGTTGCATAATCTTGTCTCCAGGCTCAGTAACCTGATTTCTGGTGGACAAGTCTGAAAAGGACAAAGGAAACATGGTGTTACAGTTACCTTGCTGCAGGTTGTGAATAAAGTTGTTCATTCTTGTCTTTCTGGGCTCGGCAAGAGGCTGAAGCCAACTTCAGAAGTGTTGGACATTGTGCTGTATTGTGTTGGGGTGAGGAGAGGAGGAAATAAATGGCCTGGAAAACACAGTTACTGCCCAGAACTGCTAATTACAACAAAGGGTGCTCTGGCAAACACAGCCAGGTGTCACTGCCCGCCAGGGAAAAAGCAAGGCTGTGATTCAATGTGTTGTGAAGTTGTGTTTTTCTGCACTGTGGTGTGTGCACATATACAGAGAGATGAAAGGATTTACTTTCTCCCTGGCAGGGAACCTGTTAGAGTTGTTTGTTGAACTCCAGTTTTCGGTGTCCCTGAGTTTGTAGTGTGTGTTCCCTTACAAACAAATGCCTTGGAACTGTGGTTCTCGTTCCTAGGGCTGGGAAGAGGCTCGGAGTTGTGGCTTCAGGAATGAGAAGGACTATTGCTGGGAATATTTCCTGTCCTCAAATACCATGCAGGTAAGAGCATCCTGCCAGGTTCAGGCAGGATTCCCGTGGGGAAGAGGCAGAGCCTTTGGCACAGCATCATTCTGGGACAATTTCTGTTGTTTCCTAGATGCTGCATAACATGAAAGGACAGTTTGCTGAGCATCTCCTTGCAGCTGGGTTTGTGAATAGCAGAAACCCCAAGGATCCCAAATCTAACACCAACTCAGGTAACCAAGGAGGGAAAGGAATTTATCCCAGCTGAAATCTCAGCTTGCAGAGCTGCCTCACTTATTTTGCTGTCTCCTGCAGGTAATGAGAAGCTGCTCAAAGCAGTCATCTGTGCTGGCCTCTATCCCAAAGTGGCAAAGATCCGGCCCAGCTTCAGCAAAAAGAGAAAAATGTGAGGGTTTGGTTTAATCTTGGATTGTATTCAGGGTGTTTTCTACGTGGATTAATTTGGCAAGGTGAAGCAGTGGCCTGAGTGCATGAATGAATCTCACTTTAGAGTCTGAGTCATGGTTGTGCATTACTTCCTTTGAGAAGGGTGGGATTGTTGATTTTTTAACATCTGGATTCTTGCAAACACCTGCAATAATTTGTGTGCCCTTACCATGCCATGGATAATGTTACAACATCTCAGAAGCACTGCTTGGAATGAGTTCAAACCCTGTCACTTCTGGTTATTTGGGAAGAGAGACCCCAGGGACCCCGCTCTGTTGATTTATCACTTCTTGTACTATCAGACTTTTTGTTGTTTTTTCTTTGAAGGGTGAAAGTTTGCACCAAGACAGATGGATCAGTTAATATCCATCCCAAATCGGTGAACGTGGAGGAAACTGAGTTCCATTACAACTGGCTCGTGTACCATTTGAAGATGAGGACCAGCAGCGTGAGTCAGGGCTATGCTTGTGGGATTTATTTATTATCCCTTTTTCAATGAGGCTGGATCAGAGTTCAGAGGGGATGAGAACAGCCTTTGTTCTGTGCCCTTCCTGTCCCGGGCCATTCCTTGTACACCCCATCAGATTATGTCCTTTGTGATACTGGGGGCATTGTACCACAAATAATGAACTTCTTTTGTTTACTTCTTGGGGTTTTTTTTTGAGGATTTGGGGTTTTTGAAGGTCTGGCAATAACAGGTGTAAATTCTTTTATTTTAGGTTTTTTTTTTTTTTATTCCAATCCAATCTTAACACTTCTCGATATGCTGACATTTTTTCCTCTCATTGTTATGAAGCATCTGGTTTGATTTCACCACTGTGTGAAAGACTGGAAGACTTAAGACCATTTTTGCCCTTGTTCAGTCTGATTTCATGTAACTTCTTTTGATTTGAGTTGCTTCATGCATCTTCAGAATTTGTAACTGAGTAAGGAACTTCTGGAGTTCTGTAGGAGTCTCATTAAGGATTACTGAGGGCACTTGAGGCATTTTGAGGGTGATCAGACGATTCTGTTGTTGTGCAGATTTACCTGTATGACTGCACGGAGGTGTCTCCATACTGCCTCTTGTTCTTTGGAGGGGATATATCCATTCAGAAGGATAAGGACCAGGACACCATCGCTGTGGATGAGTGGATTGTTTTCCAGTCTCCAGAAAAAATAGCAAACTTGGTCAAGGTGACTGTTTCAAAATAATGTACCTGAAAAGCTCAGTGTAACATTGGTTCTGCTTATACACTTAATCTAAATTTGATATTCCTTTGTGCCTATTGATTCCTCACTCAGGGAGATGATGTTTGAAATGCACTCCTGGCGAGCAGTTCAAGCACACAAAGTAAACAAAAGAGATTTAATTTTGCTGAGAAGCTGTAGGATGACTTGGTCAATCCAGGAAATATCCACATGGATATGGATACATCAGAGTGGGGCTCCTCAGTTAATAGTAATGGGTTCCATAGAACTGTTTAATTTTAGATCCCTGAAATCATGCCTGACTCTTTTTTTAAAATTTATTTTTATTTTAAACCAGTCTTTTTAATCCTGAAATAGTCAGCTAAGTGCTGGGGGGGCTGTTAGAGGCATCACAATCCAGAGTTGGTAGTCTCTCATCAAAGAGACTGGGTTTTGAGAGGCAGTGTTTGATCCTGAAAACAGCAATGTGGAAATGAACTGATGGGAGAGGAGCGGGTGTAAATGTCAGGAGAGCAGAGGGCCCGAGGCACTGGAACCTCTCTGTTGATGCTGTGTGTAGCTCTAACTGCCCATCTCTTTCCTTTTTCACAACACTTTCCAGAAATTGAGACAAGAACTTGATGATCTTCTACAAGAAAAAATAGAAAACCCCCATCCCGTGGACTGGAATGATATTAAATGCAGGGATACAGCAGTGCTGACAGCTATTATAGACTTAATCACCACGCAGGAGAACGAGGGCGTCAGGAACTTCGCGCCGCGGTTCCAGGGCGAGCGCTACAGCTGACGCACTTCACCCAGGCCAGCCCAGTCGCCTTCTTTTTTATAGCATTTCTTTAGCTAGAGGAACAACTTTTGTAGGGTAAGCTGGTAATCTCCTCATCCTGAGGGGCAGTTATGCGGAGCTAGTTGGCAGTATGTGCACGTGCATGTGTTCTGTGCTCGGTGTAGCTTTGTGAGGGAGAGAACGGCAGTTGTTGGGTGGTGTAAAGTTCTTGTCCTGTTGTAGTGTTTTCTTTGGGATTTTTACCCATCAGGTTACAAATATTAAAAACCACCTGCTAAAATACTGCTTAGTAATACCTAAACTGTTTTGGGGTTTTGTTTAATGGGGTGCGGTAATTATACTTGCTGTGTTATTCCAGCTGTGCAGCAGTCTGCTCACCAACACTTCCACAGAAGATAATTACAGCTTAATTAAACTAAACTTGAAAACACATGTTGAATTTGTATGGTGGGAGGAAACAATCTTCAGAAATTCTTCTCCTTTTCTGCATTTCATCCCATTCAATTAATCTTCCTTTGCTTTCTGTCCCCATCCATCATCACTACTGACTGAAATTACAGATTACAGAAAGCATGGTTAGATAAAAGTCATGTTGGGTTATATGTTAAGGTTTCATTTCATTTGAGTTGTTTTTTTGGTTTTTTTTAAGAAGTTCATGTATGGGTTATAGTATTCCATTAAGAATCTTTTTTTGCAAGTCTTATTTCAACTGTTCTCAATGTTTTGAATGTTGTTCTGTTTTGAATGATCTCCAGCTATGGAAGAATATTTGAATAACAAAGTTTGTTAAGGATTTTGAGGCTTATCCTTGAGAAAAAAAAGCCTGGAAATAGAACTTTTCTCCCTTCTTTGGTGTTTTGTTCATTTTTTTTTTCTTTGCAAAAATAACTTTAATCATCAGCAGGAGGATTTATGTGCTTTTTCTCGAAGAAAGCAGAGCAGCTCAGGTGAAACTTTTAAGTGGAAGTTACTGGCTGTGTTTTCCATTGGGTTAACAAGGGATGGAGCGTGTCTAGCTCCTCACTGCCAGCTGCACAACACTAACACATCGTTTAACCCCCCTGCCCACCTCCAGCGACTGTTCCACCCTCAGGTGTTTTAAATGACGAGGCGGAGGAGGAGAATCGCCCTGCTCAGGGGGTTGGGGGTGCCGGAGGGAGTGTGAGGAGGGGGAAAAGAGACCCCGGCGGCCGCGGGGAGGGAGGAGCCAGGCCCGGAGCGTTCTCCGGGGGCCAGCGGGGCTGTGAGGGCAGCGAGGCTGCGGCAGGACCGGGCGGGGACAGCTCCGGGACCCTCCGCTCCGAGGAGGCTTGATGGAGGTAAGCCCCGGACTCAAAGGGGAGAGAAAAGGGGACTAAATTGGTGATAACCGTGTGGAAATAAGAACGAAATAATTTGTAGTGCGGAATTTCTGTGCTGGAAACAATGGGCATCGCTGGGGCAGGAGGGAACAAAATGGCGCCCTGTCCTGAGGGGCGGCGCTGAGCCCGGGCTGGGCCGGCTGCTCTGCCTCACAAATCGGTGCTTTATTGAGGAAAAATCGGTGCTTTATTGAGGAAAAAGAGGCCGTGGTGCTGCTATTGGCGTAGCTGAATTAAATGTAACAAAATACAGGCTGGCACGTGGTACCTGCATTATTCTCCTTGTTAATGATTTTTGCAGTATTTAGAAGACATGATAGCTAATTTCTTAATAATGCAAAAGGAGGGCAAAAGGAAATGACAATGGTAGAGCCTAGATAAGAATTGTAGTTTCAATTGAAGATTAATTCCCTCAAACATTGTGGAGGTTCAGGGTCAGCAGTGGTGTGAGGGCCTTCCCCAGAAGAAACACTCAGAGGGGTCACAGGTAGAGATTAGGAAGTTATTGAACTGTAAATAGTGATGCTGCTGTACTTTTTTACAGTGCTTAAAGCACACAGCCTAGCATACTCTTCTATGCACGAAAGTACCAGAAACTTCTGTGTTCTTCAGAGTTTGCAAATGAGCATAAATGGTAGGGGTGCTGGGTTCGGGTTAACTTTTCCTTGCTAGTGTGTGTTCGGATTTTTATTATTATTTTTTTTATTTTATGAGTGTTATTCCAGGTATGGCTGAGCAAGCCCAGGGTCTGTGGTGGCCCAGGGGTGTGCAGGGGCCACAGCCAGGACAGCTGACCCTGCCTGCCCCCTGGGATGTCCCAGGCCATCATGCTCAGGATAAAGCAGGGAAGGGGGATGTTTGGAGTGCTGCCATTTGTCCTCTCAAGTCTGCATTCTGTGCACAGAGCTGGGGCTGGCTCAACATCCACCTGTCTTCAGGAAGTGGGGAATTCCTTGCTTTGCTTTGCTTGCACATGCAGCTATTGTTTTAAACTCTCTTTATCCCAACTCATGACTTCTCTCACTTTGCCCCTTACTCCCCATCCCGCTGTGGGGATGAGCTGCAAACCAGGTTTTAACCACCACATTAGGATATTTAGATGTTGAAGAGGTAAGGCTGCTGTAAGGTTTGTAACTTGGCTTCTAAACAGCCAGCCTGAGACAAAGAGTGGTCAAGGTCATGTTGTACTTAATGAAGTCTGCTTCTCTCTTAGTTACTAGCACCTTCTAAAACTCTGGGTTATGGAATGTAACAGTTCAGTGATGTAGTAAATTCTGCTGCCCCCATGTTATCTCCAGTTTGCCTAAATGATGAAGTTTTGATACAGCTGTTGAAAATAATTTGCAGATCAAAGCAGGTAATGCCTTAGAGTTCCTCAAACTTGGTTGAGGCAAAGATATACTGTTTATTTCCAACACTTGTGTTCTATACACTTGTTTTACCTATGTGTGTTACTTTAGAAACAAAATATACCTGGGAAACCCATGAACTTTTGTGAATATATTTTGTTGATCCAGGATTTGAAATGTGAGTATGATGCTGAGCAGACTGTGCTTTCTCCTTATTACGTTCAGTAAATTAGCTTTGCATAGTGGAAACAAATGTGCTCTTTGCCTTGGAAGTCAAGAACAACACTGTATCACAACATATATCAGCAGATACAGATGTATTTGTTATGTTGCAGGGCTGGTATACAGCAGCAGAAAGGACAGTACCAAAACCTGTTCTTTGGTGTGCCATGACTGCCAGGTTCAAGTCAGGTGGGCACTGGATTTCTGAACAGGTGCCCGTGTGGAGCCACCAGAGACATGCAGGCATCTTGACTCACTTGGAGATTGCAGCTTGGCAACTTGAGAGCCTTTTGGCAATTCGCTTCCTGATTAGGGAAGTTACAGAAGGAAGGGGACACACATTCCATGTCTTGAGATGAGAGCTGATTTTACAGTAATAAACTCCCAGCTGACTTCTGTCATTGCTGGGCTTCTAATTAAAAATGAGGTACTGGTGTAAAGCCCACCCCCAGTTAAAAAGTGTGTCTGTGTGTCCAGAGTGCACAGGACTTGGGTTGTCAGCCGATTTCCTTTGCAATAGCAGTGCTAATAGAGAAGTCAGTGTTAAAAGCAACTTTTTCTTTGGTTTTTTTTTTTGCTAATGAAAATAGTGTGGAGTGGCTGATCTCTCCTCGCTGGGCTCCAGGGACAGGAGGCTGGGGAATAACAGTTAAAGCTGGGGTTTGGACTGGGCACAAGGAGGCAGAGCTGCCCTGGGGAAGGCACAGCCCCTGGAACAGGCACCCTGCAGAGGTGGGGATGTGGCTCTGAGGGTGTTATAGAACACTCAGGAATGGGATTTAACACTGGATCAGCTCTGAGGGGGTTGGACTGCACACGGTTGTAGGTCCCTTCCAGATGAACTGTGCCAAACCCTCTGGGAAATGAAGACTTTTCCCATTTCCCTCTTAAAATGGTGTCTCAGCAAGGAGATGCTGTCCCAGGCCATTGCTCCAAGACCAACAAATCAATGGGATCTCTGACAGATGAAGCAGGACTCTATTCATCTTACAGAACAGGAAAAATTAAATTGCCAGTGTTTACTGAAGAGATTTAATTTGTCTGACAAAAATGACAACAGCAACTGGCACCTTTAAAAAGCTTTTTACATTTAAAAAAAAAGGTTTTTACATTTTAAAAAAAAAAGCAAAACTTTTTTTAGTAAGGATTTAAAAGCATTTTATTGATTGTTGTCCTATAAAATCATAGAAGTCTTTTAATTCCTGAAGAACTGTGTCCAACAATAGGAAAAATGAAAAATGTCTTTACAAAACATTACAGCATTTTTGGAAAAACTAGGTATGAAAAATATATACAGTGTATTAAAAAAATCTGAATAAAATTAATGCCTGGATTTATACATTCAGTTATGTGTTAAACATCTGCAAGTATACAATAAAATTTGTTAAAACGCTAGCAGTATTTTAACTATGTTAAATAAGTCTTTGTTCAATTTACAGTTTCTCTCATTACTATTTTATCAGTCCACTTATAAATTAATTTGCGAGGCTGTATGTATAACCACTGTCACACTGTCTATGTAAGTATTTTTGTACAAAATTACTGTCTTCCTAATGTAGTTTAAATTATTAGAGCTACACGTCTTTCTGAACACTCACATCAGCATCTTGCAGGATAAAAACCAGCATATTCCTCCCCTTTGCAGAGGCTGGGGAAGGCAACAAGAAGAAAGCCAAGTTCTCTCCTCGTTTCTAGTGAGCAGTTTCCACACTGCTGAGGCAGCAGCTGGTCCTTAAAAGGGAGGGTTTTATCATACAGACTCTCACACCTGTCCAGCCACGTGCCTGGAACGCTGCTCACCCTGGAGGGCATTTGTTCCCCGAGCAGTCAGTGCATTTCATGTTCTCATCACACCACTGCTCTGAAGCACTGAGTGAAGTGCAAGACCTCATCAGCCCTGAGGAAAAGCAGGAACCACTGCCCCACTTGCAGCAGTTCCTCTGCAGTAAAATAGCTGTGCTAAGATGGAGCAGCAGCACTGACTCTGCGGAGTGTGGTACCTTTCAGAAATCCTTTGCCCACAGCAGGACTCGGAGCCAGTCTGAGCAGCCTCATGGAGGCACAGCTGCAGATTCCTCACCGAGGCTGTGCCGGCTCTGCCTGTGCCAGGCTGGGGCCAGCCCTGGATCTGCACTGCACAGGTAGGTCAGCCTTTACAGAGTACAGAGCTGGTGCCTCGAGTGCAGGTGTCACACTGGTGCTGACACGAGGGCAAGTGTCCTGGAACAGCATCTGGGGCTGTAGCACTGCAGCTCCTCAGGAGCAGGACACCCCAGCACTGCTGCTCACTGCCAGCTCCAGGTGTGGGGCCAGGGGACCCAGGCCCCTGCAGAGTTCTGGGGCTGAAAACAAGTTCAGATGCTCCAAAGCAGATGGAGCAGGAGTGTAAGGAGGCAGGAGCTGCAGAAGAGTGCTCAGGACACTGCTGCAAGGTGCTGCTGGTGGGGCCAGGGCTCAGTCTGGAGCTGCGGGAGCCAGCGTGAGGCTCCAGTGTGCTGCTGCTGGGTTGTGGCTCCGCTGTCCCCTGTTCCAGCCAGAGCAGCCCCCAGGGTGGGGGGTGAGGACAAGGCTACACGTTGGTTTCCAGCCCCAGCAGGCGTCCCATGCGCTCCATGTTCTTGTCCAGGGTGGCCCTGCAGGTGATTTCCTTGGCACACTCAGAGGGGAACCAGCCCCTCTGACCGTCCCGCAGCCGCTCCCCTTCGTACCAGCCTGCAGGGAAGGGACAACAGTGACACCTCTGCCCCTGGCCCCACCCCTGGCTGGTGGCACTGAGGTGACACAGATGACTGTCATCACATACATTCTGCACTTGCCTTGACTGGGAATCAAAGACCAGTTTAGGATAGCTTTGGCAGTTGTTTTTAATACAGCCAGACTGGGAAAAAAATAATCTCTGCAAAGTATTGCACAATTTAACTATCTTTGTCATTCAAATATAGTTTGAAGTGATGCTATAGTAGTGCTGTAATCTGAAGACAGCAATGCAGCACAAGTGACAGAATCCCTGATTTCACAGGTAATTGAGCAACCACAAGTTAGAATTGAGTCCCTCAAGTACTGACAGTGTCCTGCATCCCTGAGCCAGCACTTGGTGCTATCAGTGCAGTTGTGGGCAGGCCCGGGCAGGAATCACTTTGATCTTGGGATACTTGATCCTGTGGAAAACCTCAGCAACCACCCTGTGCCAGAGCTGTAGCAGGAAAGCCCAGGCACGATAGACTGGGGATGTTTCTCTTGGACAGCCCTGCCACTCACTAGAATGTCTGAACTCCATGGTTTTAGACAAGTTCAATTTCCTATTTGTGGACACCTCCCATGCCAAAGCTGGCCAGCAGCCACGTTCTACAGCTGCTTGTATCTGCTGCTTCCTTCAGAAACCTGAACACAAACGAGTACGTTTTCCTTGGCAGCTGAACTTTTACTCACTGCAGTCCTGTGCTAATAGGAAACAAGTTTTTGTAGCTGGATCCCCCTGCAGAGGTGACAAATGGTTATGGACAGCAAAATCCTCACTCACCATCATTCACTTTTTGATAAAGCAAAACAACATCAGCGACTTGCAGAGAGAGCTCATCGGCCTGCTTGGCTGTGTACGTTCTGATGATCTCCACCTGAGCCAGTGCTGGGGAAGGAGTGAGCCAGGCTTAGTTAAACCAGTCACAGAGCAGGTGATTATTACAACACATCACCATTAATTTAAAAAGTGTCCACTCTACACCTTCCCCCGTCACTTGGGGTAGTTGCAGCCCAGCCTGGCCCCAGTGTGGGCAGTGCTGTCCCCATGCAGAGCACTCACGAGTCCCAGCAGCTGTGACTTACTGGTCCTGTCCGTGTGGTGCCCGTCACTGTCCTGGCCCAGCGCCGTGATCCAGCGGGCTCTGTCACTCCTGCAAAGCAGAGCCCAGTGTCCCCACTCGTGCCCTGGATAATGGGCAGCACTGACACTGCTCTCACTTCTTCCAGTGCCAGCACCTCTCCCTTCAGCTCCTGTGAGTAACCCCTGAGTATCACCACCTTTGCCTGCTCTGCCTTCTTCACAGGGCAATAGAAAGTTCTCACCTAACACTGGTACTTTTGTCCTTGGGACCCACATGCCACAGGAGGTGGCAAAACAGGATCCAACTGTGCTGCAAATCTTTGTGTCAGACAACATTTTGGTTTTACCTGCATGATCAACTCTCTGAACTGTTTAGTCATGGAAATTCCTTTCCCATCCTTCTCAAAGGATAAGACTATAAAAATAGGTAACTTAAAAAAAATACAGGAATTCTTTTCAGTCTCTTGCTGCGAGTGATGATCAGCTGGACTGCTATTTATACTGCAAACAGCACAGAACATATCAATAATAAGTCTGCAGAACAAAATGTCTTTTCATACAAAGCACAGACAACTAAAAATGTCCTGCATTTTTCCCCAGTAAAATTTCATTTCCAAACAAGTCTGAATCATCTCCTGCCTTCATAATGAGATCTTTAATAGTAAGCACTGATGATCTTCAGTTCCTTTCACAGTTATTCTAAACTTTGAAAGCCAACCTAAAACGATCGATTTTTCCAGGCAGGGCCATGTCTGGAGCACTCCTTCTCATGTCTCTGTCCCGCCTCCAGCTTCCCCCAGAACAAATGAACTCTTTCAGTGCTGGGAGGTCGTGTGGAAGTTGATGGCACTTGTACATCCTCGAGCAGGCACTGGCTGCTGGTTTCAAAGGCAGGACACTCCTCAGGGTACCCGGGAGAGCAAGGAGCAGGGCTCCTCCTGCATCAGCTGTGCTCCACTGCACCATCCAACCATCACCACCAGCCATCACAGCTCAGGGCCCACAGCACTCCAGGTGTACCACAGCCCCACGGTGACACCCGCCTGCAGCACTGACCCTGGGGGAGAGGGACATGAGCACAGGAACCTGCCTGGGCCACGGCTACACTGATCTCTGCAGGCAGGGTAATCAAGGCCTTACCCAGCAGTTTAAATTAATAAACCAGAATAAGTAATCTAAATAAATAAATAAATATTTACTACTTTGGGCAGGGCGGGAGGAGCAACCCAGAGACAATCAGGTGAAGCAATCTCTTAAGTAAATGTACTCACAGAGTCTCTGCTCCCAGGAGCATCTCCACCCTGTCCCCGGCATGGTTGCTGAGGAGCACGAGCCTGAAGAGGTGGCACGCAGAATTCCGTCCGGAGTGGAGCATCCCTGCCGTGTTCTTGCCGGGAGAGGAGCAGGGATCCTCCCCGTCACAGGGCACCACCAGCAGCTGCTCCCGCAGCGAGTACTCGGTGACATTGTAACTCTCCTCACTGCAGGGCACAGCCAGAAGGAAGAAAGCACCGGGTAAGGTTTAGGAAACGCCAGTTAAGATTCAGTTTCCCGTTCACTCATTTGTGTGGAAGCAACCACAGTCACAGCCACATCTAACACCACGGTAGGGACAGTTCTTCCAGCACCACCCAGCTCCACACAGGGTAACCAACTTCTGCCAGTGGGTCTGGTGCAACACAAAGCCCTACTTCAGCTCTCGGGGTACATTTTCACCCGTGTTCTGTGAAATAAACACTGAGATGGGATTTTTTGGGTTCTCTCTGCACAACAGCTTTGTGCACTCCCAAACAATGGACAGAGAACATGCTTCTAATGGAACCAACCCTGTTCAGATGCTCTGAACCAGGGGAAGGGTTGGTTTGGGCTTGGTTTTTTGAGTAAGTTTGGGAATTTTGGGGGGGTGTGGTTGTTTTTTTCATAGAACTCAGTTCACGATTTTAGGCTGAATAACTCCTTAGCCAAGGGAAGAACTGGCAATCCCAGCTGGGAGTACTGCCATCACTACCTGGGAATTTTGTGTCTGAAAAAGAAATATGTCTATGCATTTGTGCAATGAATAATAAATGCATTTCCTATGAATTAATCAGCTAGTCTGAACATGTGCACAGCTAATCATAACGGCATTTCTTACTAATTAATCAACAGATAAACCTCTACAAATCCTTCCTACTCCTCACTTCCATCCCACAAACCCTTTGGATCAGACTCCTGCTGAAGGGAATCCAAACCCATGTAAAAGCAGTGACTGCATTTCCCTCAAGTCCTCGGAGTCAATACTGCCCTGATTTCCCCCCACCCTTCACCTCGTGCCCCAGCCCAGCCCCCAGGCAGGGCTGTGTGAGCAGGACTGAGCCTTCCCCAGCCCCAGCCCCAGCCCCATCCCAGCTGGCCTCTCCCCAGGACCCAGCATCCCCGGCCCACTGACTGCTCCTCTCAAGACACTGCAGTAGTGCTTGGCAAGTATTATGTCATTTTTAATGTTGTTTTTGGTTTTTTTTAAATCAGATTATGTCTACACACAGCAGGGGCTACAAGGACAACTGGCAGAAGAAACATTCCCAAAAAATGAAAAGCTGAGCAGTGGGGAAAAGCAGCCTTTTATCCCTCCTCAAAGCCTTGTGCACATCCCAAATCCCCGTGTCCCTCCTGCCCAGTCCCAGGGAGCAGCCCTGTGACTGGAGACCCCTTTGGCCCCGTCCTCTGCAGCATCTCCAGCAGGTCAGAGCCACAGCTGCAGCACATGGAGCTGGGACAGAGCTGGGACAGAGCTGGGCAGTGGCTGCTGAGCCAAGGCTGGACATGAGCTCTGGGTAAAGCCCCAAGGGCAGCCTCAGAAATGGCCATTTTTAGCACAAAGTGAGGAGAGTGAACATTGCCTTAGTGCAATGTTAAGAGTCTTCTGAGATTGAGCTGCTCAAGGAAAACCACAAACATTCAACCCCAACTAGCAATAAACATTTCTGTCCACTGCTGTGGCGCCATGGCAACACTGTGGGTGGGAGCACGGCTCACTCAGAGCTCCAGCACCGTTAAGGAGCTTTGGCACTTGGGCAGAGGGAGTTTCATGCTCCTGGAATCATGGGAAGCGTGGAGGGGAAAGGACATTCCCAATACTTTATCCTTCTCAAACTTCTTTCTTTGCTAGTGCATTAAGAATCATATTTTTAATTTGTCTGACAATTTGGAATCTTCATTGTGTTTGCCAAAAGTAAATCCTGTTAATAAGCAGTTACTTGTTATTTGTAACCCATGATAGAGGCTCAACTCCTGCACTCATTCCACAGCCAGGATCATGTTCACTGTGATTCAAGGACTGAACACAAAAGCAGTTTTAGTGAAGCTCTTACCTCTTCTTCTTGGTGATGATGAGGACGTCGTTGAAGAGGAAGAAGTACACCTGCTGCTTAGAGGTTCTTTTGGAAAAGAGTCCAGTGTCTTCTACATAGGCCATTAATTCTCCCCTTTTCAGCAACCACCGTGAAGAGGAAACCAATGGAAATGGCTGCAGGGCAAGAAAATCACATTATAATCCTTCCAAATCAGAGAATTCTTTAAAAATAGACAACAGAGTATGATCCACTTGGGAAAAATGCTTCAATAAACTCAAAGCTCAGAGATTAAAAACACAAAGAGGTTACCAAAATTTAAGGGACTTCATCATTGCTACAGCGCACAGGTAGCAGCTGCAAATACCTGGGAATCACTCGGGCACCTGTCATCACTGCTCATAGAAAGTAGAAATGAACAGACCTGACTGATCACACGGGGGATGAACAGGCTGTGAGACCTCCTGAGGGCACAGCCTGACTTCAGGAATGTGTCTGCAGGGTGAGACCTGCTCCGGAAGCACGTGGGGCCATGGGAGCCCTGAGGACCTTGGGCTGTTCTTGGACCAGAGGTGGCATTCCCTGTGCCGGTGTCACCGGGACGGGCGGGTACAGCCTCCTTCCTTCCACACCCCTGAGGGCTCTCCCTCCATGGCACCAGGGAAAGGTTTCCATGGCCTTGCCGTTCTCACTGGGGCTCCTGAAGTGTCTCAGTTACCTGTCAGGCTTCACTGAAAATGGCTAATTAGGGATCCTACAGCTCCTCTCTTTATCCAGCTCCTGTGGATGGAGCAGGAGCTCCCTTTCTCCCTAAGTGAGGGCAAACACCTGCAGCAGCTGCACCCAAGCCCCAGAGGATTTGAGTTGCCTGATGTGAAGACTTGCCTTTATTAATCCAAATGATTCCCAGCTGCAGGACACAGAGCCCACAGAAGGACCTTTCCTTCTCTGGGCCAGGAAGGCAGAGGGAGATGTGGGACTGTCCTGGTGACACAGATCCCTCTGAGGCTGCCCCGAGACAGACACTCCAGGCAGACCAAGGTCCACATGAATGAACACAACTGCCTGTTTTCCCCACATTTAAACACCTTTCACATGCTTTTAAAAAACATCCCTTCATGTAGTTTGTCAGCTGCCTTCCCCATTCTGCATGAGTTGGCTTTTTGTATCTGCTAATCCCTTGGCCAAGCCAACTGCAGCCTGCCCGTACCTGCTGAGCCAAACCCAAACCCAGCGCTGCGAGAAGAGCAAACACTGACTCCCAGAAACAAACCCCCACAGCTTCTCTCGTGCAAAAGATGCAAAATTTAAGAACAAAAACTGCTGAAACTTAATTAAAAATTTAATTCTACAGTTGAGCCATGTACACAAGCAGCACAAGATTTGAGTCACTTCCCTTGGGCCCCCATGAAGTTCTCCACAGTTACATCTAACAAAATAATAAACAATCTCCAAAACTCTGTGAAGCTGGGCAAGAACAGAAATACTTTAACTAATTTATAATGGCTTTATAATGGCTATAAAACAGAATTACAGTCCCATGATGATTGGTTTACAAGCAAAAAATACTTTTAAAAGTTCTATTTGAGGACGAACAAAAAATTCCTCTAATCTGTACTCCAAATGAGTTCATCCCATTTTCCTAATTGACTCTCTTCCAGAGGCAGCTTGGTTTTATTTTAATTTTTCCTTAATTGCCAAAGGAGCAAATCACATGCACCATGTCCCTGCTGCAGAAAAGACACTCTCAGAAGTGAAAAATGCATTTAACCAGAGCGGGGCTTCCCCGCCCTGACAGGGCCTGAGGGGCTGCAGGGCTGGGCCTTGGGTGCACCAAGGGAAATCTCACAAAAGCACGGCCAGACAAAGCCCCCAAAGCTGCTGCTGCTGCCACAGCACCAGCAGGAGCTGCTCCAGGACAGCCTGGGGTCACCCAGGGGCCACAGAGCCAAGGAGGGGACAGAGAGGGATGGGCAGGGACACGGAGAGATGGACAGGGATGGACAGGAACAGAGAGGGACACACAGGGACAGGGATGGACAGGGAGGGATGGACAGGGACGGACAGGGACAGAAAAGGATGGATGGGACAGATAGGGATGGACAGGGACAGAGAGGGACACACAGGGACAGGGGCATGGACAGCACGGGAGGGAGAGCCAGCATGTCCTGTCCTGGAGAAGGTGAGGGACTCCAGGACCTGCAGGCACAGATCCTGAGGCACTCCTGGGATCTGAGTGGAACCACAGAGCAGCTCAGCCCTGACACTGGCTGAGGACTTGAGTCTGTTACCACCCATCAGGAAATGCTCTGCTGTCACTTGCCCAGAAGTGTTGTATTTGTTGTTGCTGTTGCTATAAGAAAATCTTATTATTGCCAATTTTTAGACAAAGTTTGAAAATGAAAATACTTTAGACAAGTTGAAAATGTCTTTTTGGAGGCAGCATTTTCCCTATGCCTGACCCAGAGCCTTTCAAGAGCTGTGCTTGTAAAACCATGAACCAACCTCCACTCACTACATGCCTGATAATGAAACAATCTTTCCCCCAGAGAATCCTCATCGTGTAATGGTATCAGACATCAATTACAGAAACAGGATTGTAGCAAACATTGAACAGAAACAATAAATGCACTTGAAGAAAGTCCAATAACATTCCCCTACCTATGACTGATTGTACAAGAACTTTTTAATAGAAACCTGTGATATCCCACCCTTAAGGGGAAGGACAAACACCCCCTGGATCCTTCCCTGGCCTGGAAGTGTTTACCCAGGCACACCTTTCCCATCAGGTACATAAGCAAGTCTCAGCACTGAGCAGCAGCCTTTGGCCTCTCTCCTAACACCAAAGTCTTCACAGCAGCTTTATCTTTACAGCAAAGAATACTCTTCACTCAGTATTTCTTCAAAATCCCTTGTGCTGTAGCATCACTCTCTACTAAAATTAAAATACTTGACCAAATGTTTTAATTTGTGTCATGCCACACCAGATCACTTCTTTGCAAGAATCACTGTGGGATGTGACCATGCTGGGAAAGCTCCACTGTTTGTTCCACTCATTGTCCTGAGTGCTCAGGACTATGATCCTCACCCTACCTTGATTTTGAATTCCAGCTGGGAGTTGATGGTGTACATCATCTCCGTCCTCTCCATCTTGCGGGCGCCCTCGTTGCACAGACGCACGAGCTGCAAACGAGAGAGGGGCTGAGCCTTGAACCTCCAGCACAAACTGCTGCTCCCTTGGAAAGGAACTTCTGGGGCACAAACCCCCAGCTGGGACACATCCACCTCAACGTGGTGTTTGCAGGGCCGCAGCACCAGGGCTGTCCCCACGGCTGCACCGCTCCCAGAGCCTCCTCACCCAGGGATCCCACAGCACCCCGCTCATTTGGGATTCTCCAGGGGCAACAAAGGTTCAGCCCAAGTTCTGCCTGAGCAGGGCCACTGCTCTGATCCAGGCTGATGATCAGCTCCAAACACACACCCTCGTCCCAGCTGGATTAACTTCCCACACTGATCCCACACACACCCCCAGAACCACCACGGTATCATCCAGTTTGGGATCTTTTCCCAAGCAGGAACCAGTAATTCTGCACAAACCCAATCCCCAGAGCTCTTCCTTAAATACAACAATATAGAGCTTTTATGCTTCACTGCTCTTCCCACCTGCACTATTCATGCATGGAAAACATCCATTTTTGCCTGGAAGGACACAGGAATAACTTGAGAACGTACCTTGCTGACTTCTTTCAGAGCCTGCTTGCAGTTCTCGTATTTTGCTGAATCTTTGGGGGTTTTCTGGCAAATAGTCTGGAACAAAACATCTGTTACTTCAGAGAACCAAGCAACACAGATCAAACCCACAGAGATTTCTCATCTTAACTGAAATCCAGGGGCTGAATCGTGCCTGTTGACTGAGATAAAGAGGGAACACCGGTCACTTGGTCACACTAAGGAATGCCTCCCTGGGAAGGTTTGGGAACAAAGTCATGCTTTACTTCTCAAGGAAAGGTTCATACAACCATCTCCAAACAAAAAAAACCAAACTGAAAGAGTGGGAAATAAAATGCTTGATTTGCTTGTTTGGATTATTTCAGCCACAGAGGGGAAGGAGGTATAGGAAAGAAAAGCCCAAGAAGGGGAAGGCATCCCCAGTGACACACTGCAGGAATACTGGATTATTATTATTATTCCATTTTTTACCTAGAAACATACTGCAGAGAAGAGAGAATTCAATGCCTGTGAATGAACTAATTGTCCAGGTGATCAAATTCATCAGTGCTCAATTTAAAAATACACAAAAAATGGTAAGTTCTGTTTCTGGCTCCTACCGGTGCTGGAATCAGAGCCTGATCACAACCTGCACTCCTGTGGGTGGTGCAGCTCCCCACTTAGTCCTGAAATACCCCAAGTGCTGGAGAATCCTGCCTGACAAACACTCCCCAGCACTTCCACCACTCCGAGTCCCCGGTCACTGCACAGGGAGGGACAGCTCAGTGCCACTCACACACAGCTCCCCTGGGAATGGAGCATTCCCTGCCAAAGGGCCCTCACCCAACCTACACTACAGCAGCTCTTGTTTTTCAGCTGCAGGGTTTGTTCCAATCCCAGCACTACAAACAATTCCTGTGCTGGCTTCTCCTGAGTTTCAGAACCATTTTGACCCTTTATTGTACAATTTTCCTATTGTAACATCCAAACATTTAACTTGAATGGGGGAGCAGGAGGGCCCAGTCCCAGTCAGCAAACAAATGCAGCAGGAATCAATAATTCACAGCCCAGGACTGGTGTAAGGGACAAGGCATGAAGAGACTGGAAAGAACCAAAACTGAACAGGAGACAATGCTAACACTGCAAGAACAAGCAGCAAGGAAAGAGGGAAGTCGGTGTTCTCACATCCATCAGTAAGGGGAGACGAGTGACTCTCTGCATGGGGAGGATGAGGAAGGAGATCATGGGCAAATTCCGGCAATCCTCGTGGGACTCGATCCGGGACAGCACCTCCTTGAACGCTGGATTTGTGGCTCTGGGGAGAAAGAGGAGGAAAGAATTCAATGGTGTGTTTTAACAAACGATTGTGCAAGTTGCTAAATGTTAAATAAACCATTATTTTACAAAAAAGGAAGCGTGACTTGCAGGAGTCAGGTCACCCCAGCCCTCAGCTTTATTCCCTCAGATCCAGCAGCCCCAGCACTGACATTGCACCCGAGGAGCTGCCACCCCTGCCACACAGGGCCACTGTCACACCGTGTGACACTGAAGTGGGGATGAAGGGAGGGCGAGGTGAGGCAGGAGCTGTGGCAGGAGGGGGCTGTGCAGCTCCCAGAGAGGCCCCAGGCCCCGCGGTGCTCACAGCAGTCTCTGCAGGGTGCGCTGCTGATAAACCTCGTTGGTGCAATACTTCACGTAGGGGTCGAAGGTGGAGCCCGCGTGCCTCGCCACGATGTCACTGATGTCATCGATGAAAATGCTGCTCTGGTGCCTTGCCTCCAGCTCCTCAAAGAACCTGGGGGGGTCAAATCAACTGCTCACTTCTACATGCAAATGGCATCTTTCCCTCACTGCATTCACCTGACACCACCCACGGTCACCCAAGTGCTGCCAGCTGGCCTGGGCTGAGCGGGGCATCCCTGCTGGGGCAGCGCTGGCAGGACACGGCCCAGGACACGGCCCAGGACGGCCCAGGACACGGCCCAGGGCTGTGCACAGCCACTTCCCACTGCCACACAGCAGCACTGAGCTGGTCAGACCAGAATTTCCAGAAATGGGGTTGGAAGAGAAATGTAACTATTTCAAACACTCATTAACACATTTCCTCCTGCAATTAAAGGCAGCACAACACCAGAAGTGCCCGATGGAATACAGGTACGTGTGGGGCTGGAGCAGGACACGGTGCTGCACATCCTGCAATCCTCCACTGGAGCCAAACGTGGCCTGGAAACGCTGCAAACGGGCACAGAACCCAAAATCCTGAGCTGGCTCTTCCCCTAACCATGCTGCTTGTGACAATTTCCCTGTGCTCTGTCCCACATGTGAGGCTCTTTGGCACTGGAAGCCTCCCACTGCTTTTTGCACTCCCAAGCTCCTAAAGCACAAGCCTTGATTCCCATGATGCTCACTGGAAATGCCCCAAGATCTGGGGTGGAACAGCTGCAGATCAGCTCCGTGGTCACCCCTCACACATGAAAAGCTGTCCTGGCTGCAGCCTTTGTACAGCAGATTCACTGCAAGAATTCTCAACTCCCTGGAGTCAACCAGTTCATAAAAAAATTCTCATATAGCACAGAAAACATTAAGGAAATAATTAAACACACGAGCTCACATTAAGCTCCAGTGTTTTGAAATCTGCTCTATATAATTTCAGCCCTTTATTCCATTTTTGCATCACTAACAATGGCTTTTCAAATCTGCCACCTTTTTTCAAGAGCTGTTCTCCACAGTTTGCTTTAGGAACACACCTCAGACATGTGAGAGGAGGAGAACAGGGTGAACAGCAGCTGATCATCCACGTGTGCAGCAGCAGGGCTTAACTAAATGAAGGCACTCTCCAGGTGTGCTCAGAAGGAGCTGCTGCACTGAGCGGCTGCCAGGCGCTCCCTGGGCCAGCCAGAGCCACCACAGCCAGGTGGATTTTGGTCTGGTTTTGGATTTTGCTCTTTGTGAAGCTCTGACACAGCAACTGCAGAGGGACTGGCTGCTGAACAGGGCTCTGTGCTGAGCAGAATTTGTCAGAGCCTGTCACTGCTAAGGCAGAGTCCTCCAGCACCCTGCGCTCCCCCACAGCCTCTCACAACACTCTGTGAGTTGTCACAGACCCGTCCCGTGTCAGGACCGGCCCCACAGGGTGCATGTAAATAACAAAATGACATGAAAAAGAGCCTGTGAGTATGGAGGCTGCAGCGTCTGGGAGCCACAGCACAGCCCCATCCCACACTGGCATTTGTTTCTGCTCAGACATGTTTATGGCTGGGAGAACCTCCCACTGCTGCCAATTCACTTTGCTCAGGAAATGAGGAAATCCAACATTTCCTGCTGTGTAATGGCACACTGACAAGGTGTTGGACCCTGCTGGGCCACAACTTCCACCTTTAGAATTTATCTGGTGCTTCATCAGTGACATCACCAGAGACAGTCACTGTATGAACAGTAAAGATCTGGGAGAGTAGAAGACAAAAAAAAAAAAAAAGAAAAGAAAAAAGGGAAAAGTGGGACAAAGAGGAGCTGTATATCAAAGTCCCATCTCCCAGTATGATCCGTAAGGAAATCCTGCACCAAAGTTTTAATCAGAAGTTGTAGTTTTCCATATCTAATCTGCTAATTATTAGATACAAACAGTGAACCAGACACATCATAAAGCCTTTCACTTACATTTTAGGACACATTCTGCCATAAAGCTCAGGACTGAGGGGTGGAATGACTCCATTCAATGTAACCAAGATGGAATTTGCTATGATGTGTGCAGCTCTTTTTGCTGAACATCAGAAGGATTTATTTCAAACATCTCTTTATTAAATCCAGGACTTTTCTGGTTAAAGTTAGATCCAATTCAGAGAAAGTCAAACAGCATCAAAAGGCAGAATTCGATTTCCCTCATCTTGCCCTTACATTGTTTAGAAGAACCATCCACTCTGCAACACTCCTGAAGGCTGAGGGCCAAATTCAGAAATGCAGGTTTGGCTCCAGGGTGCTGCTGACATCCAGGGACAGAAAGCACTGCAGTGGCAGCAAGCAGAACTCAGCTTCTTCCCCCTGGAGATAGGGACACTGCAGTAACTGCCAACTTGAGATAACTTCAGCCAAAAGTAACAGAGATTTCTGATTAACCTCTCCAAATCTGAACCTTCTCATCAGGAACAGAATCTGAACATCTGCAACATTATTTTTATTTAGGGAAGGAGAAGGGGATTTAAAATAGTAAAAAATGGGAAAAATAATCTTATTTCCATAGAACTTTTATACTGAATAAAAATCAGGTTTTTTAACCCAAAAAAAAAAAAACAAACCAAACCAAAAAAACCCAAAAACCAAAAGGCTGGAGAGAGGGTGATTAAAGTGCAGAACTGAAATCAGTTTGTTTGGTGAGTTCCCACAGTCTCAATAATGGAAACCAACACATAGCTACACACATAAATCTAACACCTAACCCTGCAAACTCCCAGCCCATAAAACCCCTTTTCCTGGGCAATATCCAGGGAGCAGCCACAGAGCCCAGCAAGGAGAAGCTGACCCTGTTTGTTCCTCTGTCACCAGCCCACGCCCAGGGCCTGTCCCACTGGGGAGCCACTGCCTTTCCAGCTATTTATAGTGCTGTGGCACAAAGCCAGGGCAAGGGAAAGGCCACAGCAGCCCTGCCCAGATATCCTGTTCCAGAGATTCCCCAGGCAGCAGGAAGGTGCCCACAGCACCTGCTCAGAGGTGGGACCTGCAGGACAACAAACTCAGCCAATAAATGCACCCAGAGACACTGGGACAACAAAATGGGAATGTCTTTGGTAAGTCACGAACCCATCACAACCAGAGTGTTCACAGTCTGTGATTCTGTGACTAAGACCAGCTTAAAACCAGACAGCATCTGTTAAAATGGGTTTGTTAGGTTCTTTTTCTGCTAATGCTGCTCTGGTATCACAAAAGCATTTGTCCTTTGCTGGCCTAACGGCAGAGAAAGCACAAATGCTAAAGCTTTCCTTTCTGCCACAAACTTGGAGATTTGACCCTGCAGACCAGCTGCTCCTGAAGACACTTCCCTCATTTCCCTGACTCCTCTTTCCCCAGAGAGGCTCCTGGGGGCTGTGCCCTCCCTTGCCCGACCCTGACTCCTCAGACTGCATTCCTGACTCGTCCCATTCCTGCCATCCCCACCAGCCCAGCCCAGCAGCTCCTGACCAGGCTGGAGCAGTGTCAGGCTGGCTTCCAGCACTGCACATCACACAAGGGCCATCAACTCCAGCCCCATGGAGCCACCTGCCAGGAGGTTTCCATAAACACACAGCATGTGCTGCACAGATTATTCATCTCCACTCCTCTCTGTCAGAGACATTCCAGGGAGCTCCCAAAAGCAGAGAACTCTCTGCTCTCTGCATTCTGCTTCCAACAAAGGCAGCTTTGTTCCCCCAGGAATGGCCCTGTCAGGCACTACAGGCCTATCCTGGTGCTGCTGGAGAGTTTCCATTAAACATGTTCCAAATCAAAGTTCCTAGACAGAGGCTTTAAGCAGTTTTGACTAAAGGTTTTTATAAAGTATTTTTATCAGTTCAGGTTCTTCAGCTCACCAAACTTTTGTCCAAGCAACCAAAACCACTGCTAAATACACTCATACTCAGGTTTTGTACCAAGCAAAGGCTGCTTAAAATACACCAGAGTGGGACAGATGCTCCATTTTATAACAAAAGGGTGGATTTTGCTGCTTTGAATCACCTTGAAAATGGAAAGCAACAGTTTGGAGATACCAAGCTGGTATCTGGTTTAAAATCACATCCATTATTTACACAAATGATGTTGCTCAAAGCCAGCACTAAGTTTTAGTTTTTTTTAAGTTTTTTTAAGTTTTTTTGTTTTAGTTTAACAGTATTGCAAAACTTGGGAAAGAAATTATGTTTTCATTTAAGTTTAAAAAGGAGTTATGACTTCTGATTTTACCCCAAGTCATAAAAATCCAAGTTCTTAAACCATGAGACTTCACAGAGGAGAAAGAACAAGATTATAATTCTAGTGTGGTATTTTTCCATTCTTTTTTCTCCTCTCCCTCCCACTTCCTTTGAAGGCTCTTAATCAAAAGGGATGTAAGAGTTCCCCGAGGAGTACTGCTCTCCCCACCCCCACCATCCTTTGCTTTTACACCTCACACTTTGTGTAAGAAGTACCTGTAAAAGGAACTTTTCCTTGAAAACAAAGACTTTGATAAGCTGCTGTCCCTGACACCAGTGCTGCCAGACTGGGCTGGCTCTGGGGCCACACAAGCCCCAACCTCTGGCAAAAAACCTCAACTGCAAGAGACAAAGAAAGGGGAATGGGAGGGAGAAAGGAAGGGTCCCCAACCAAGCCCAAATGTTCTCCTGCTCTGTAACTCCTAAACTGGGCTTGCACTTGACACAGCACATCAGCTTCCAAAATACAAAATCTTGCTGCTGCATAAACTTCAGAACACAAAAGTCAAACTGCTGCACAACAGATGTCAAATTCCACACACTTTGTGATCTCAGAGAAAAAAGCCAAGAAATGACTTTACCATGACTGGGAACACAGAACTTCACAAGTCCCACCAAGGTAAATGAAGGTTTAACGCTAAAGAACTCAAAAATTTGCAATTTCTACAAAGGGGACAAAAGAATGGGGAACAAAATAAAAAACTATTCAGAATCCTTGTTCAACCTTCAGCCCCCTTCTGAAAGGAGGCCAGTATTTCTCTGTTCCTCATGTAGAGATCCATGTAAATGTAAAGCAGTGCAGAGCTACAGCTGAGACCACTCAGTACCTTCACGAGGCCACGAGCATCCTTCAGCCACCGTGCTCACTTCAGACTGGAAAGCAGGGGTAAGAAAAGCAACACAGGCATTTTGATGCTTTACTTATGTGGAACACATAATCCACCTGCTGCTGTGAACGCAGAACAAATTGCAAAGAGGCAAAGTCACATTCAGCAGCTTTTGGAAAGAGAGTGTGAGGTACTCAGAGCACATACATATGCATGTCCCGGATTAAATAACTTGGCAGTAATTACCAGTCATGAACAAGACTCTCTGCATCAGTATCATGCAAGATCTGCCATTTCCTCCTCTTCAGGCACAATCTGCAGTGTGTCTGTGTCCCTTGTTCCTGGCTCCAGACTGAAGGAATGTGCCCAAAAGCAGCAGCAGGGCAGCTCAGCCGTGCAGCAGAGCCAGGCCCTGGTGTCCTCACAGGGGTGACAGTCCCAGAGCACAGCGAGGCCCCAGGACAGCACCCTCAGCATCACCTGGCACCAGCCAGCTCTCCAGGGCAAGAACAAACCTCCAGCTCCAACTGAACAGCTCAACAAGGCAGACTAAGCTTTGTTTGATGCACTGCAAGGACCAGGTCTGAATGCCTGATCAGCATTTAGCTCTGAGCTGCTTCCATCTGAAGGATGCTGATCTCCACTACGATTCACTCACTGCTTTCCTTCCCTCCCCATCCTCAGACACAAATCCCAGGCCAGCCCCGCTCACCCTCCTGTCCACATCTCTGCCACTTGTTCTTGCCATCTTCAAACCAGCAGGAGTTTTGGAAGAAATGGTCACTACTAAAATGGTTAGCTCAGCTTCCACAACTCAACCTGCTGTTATGTTTAAGCATGCAGAGCTCTGTTAAACACAGAAATGCCACACTTACTTTTTGCTTGCTTCATAAACGTCCGTGATGTTGGAGAAGAGGTGGTGGCTCTCTGTTTTGGTCATTGTGAGGCTCAGTTCCCTGGAATTTTTAAACATCCGGATCAGAATCTCCAGGCTCAGCAAATAGGAGTGCTCAGAAGATATCACCTCAAATATTGCCTGCAAAGTGAGGGGGAAAAGAAGAGACTTACTAGTGACTGGGCTTTTTTCCTTAAAAAGAAAATGTTGAGCAGGGGTGCAAAGCAAAGTTTTGGATGTAAGCTAGAGATTACAACTTAAATATTCATCTCTATAATAGTTGCATCACGAATTAGAAATAAGTGAAAACAAAAAAATGTCATTTTTAAGAAGTCCATCTTCAGAGTTTTCAATGCAACTGCAAAGCAGGAGTTTGGAGACAACACCAGGTGTGACCCCAAGAGCACAGGAGTGAGGCAGGAGGCCGAGGCCCCTGGTGGAGCTCTTCCCAGACTGGGAACAAAGTCATCAGCACAGGCAGGAATGGGCCGGGCACTTTGCTTGTGATGTGCAAGGGAGGGAGGGAGAACCATCTCACCATGACCCAGCCACATTCTGGAGCACAAAAAGCAGAGGAGGGTGCCTGACACACACCCAGGGCTGGGGGCAGCTCCCTGGGGCTCACTGGGCGTTCCTGGATGCCCCTGGAGCCACACTGGGGCTGATCTGCACACACAGGGTCAGGGCACGTGTGACCCCCAAGGACAGTAACACTCAGGGCCAGGCACACACACACATGGGGATTGCAGGCTTGCAAGGAAAGACCTACTGAAAAGCATTTTAGCTCAAATCAGCCTGTGACACATTTTCCTTAGCCAAAACAGGCACAGAGATCCATCTCACTAACACATTCTGAAAGATGGGATGGGTATGAAGGCAGGACATGGACATGAATTAAGGCAGAAGACAAATATATTTTTCTGCAGTGACAATGCATATAATATAAAATAATCTAATAGGCTCTAAAAAGCAATTTAAAGAACAGATAAAGAATAAAAAAAGGCAGTTTAAAATAAACACAGCAGAAGCATGAACTGGTAATGTAACTACAACTTAAAAATACTTATTTAGGCTCCCACTGAAAGAATTGGCCTCTAAAATTCAAATAAAAAACCCTTAGGCATGAAAACATTTTTGGTAGCATTAATGACTGTACATTTAAAAGGCATCCAAAGAACTTGTTCTTTTTGAAAGGATGCAAGTCTGGTTCCAGGGAACACAGCCTAAAGGCTCCTAAAGGATATGAACTATACACCTTGTCTCAAAAGCTTCCCAGCAGGAGAAGGCTGAGGGATGTCCTGGAGAGGAATGAAGGGACAGATTCCCAGGGCAGGTAAAGCTCCAGGGCTCCTGGCCAGGCCTTGTGCCTCCTGTCAAGGACACAGCTGGGGAGGAGCTGCAGGGACACAGCTGCCTGGGCCAGGCTGTGCTCTGCAGCCCCTCATTCCCTCTGACACAGCCCTGCAGTGAGGAAGGAGTACAGCAGATGAAGTGGACACAAGGAGCAAAGGGGAAAAGGAAAGTGGCTGAGGAGGACACAAGGAGCAAAGGGGAAAGAGAGAGAACAGACAAGCACCCCACTGCAGGCACAGGACAGCTGGGCTCCAGCAGGCACACAGGCTCAGTGCCAGCACTGCCCACAGGGGCTCTGTAAAAGCGGCTCTTTGCTCCTCGCTGCTGTAAAAACTCATGTGCCACGTCCCTGCCCTGTGAGCTGGGGGTCAATGTCACCCCTACTGCTGCTGCCAGGCCAGAGCTGGGGCAGGGAACACCCCAGGAGCCCCTGGCAGGGACACACGTCCCTCAGCACACACTGGGGCCACGTTTTCTCCCTGGGGAGAGAGGACACTTCACTGGAGGGCAGGGAGCCAAGCAATGAACTCTGATCAACCAACAGAGCATTGACCCAGTGCAGCACAGCCCTGAGCAGCCAGCCCCAAAGCAAATACCTCCTGTCTTTTCCTTTCTTCCTGGCTGATTGCTTCTGACAGTCCATTCTTCTTCACCTAAAAAAACAAATCAATCGATATTTTTAATATCTTTTGTGGAAAAATGTGACTTAGAACAGACAGGACTGTCAAAAACTAGAAAGCAAAGCACCAAGAGAGGCCTGGCTCTAGAGGAGCTCTAAACACAGGACCCAGAGCAGGAGGGACACCAGGGCAAGGGGAGGGAAAGGGCCACAGCACCACACATGGGGAAGGGCCTGCTCTCTTCCTGGAGCAGAGGCACAGCACAGACACGAGACCTCACACCCATTTCTGTCAGTCTTCTCCAAAAGCTCCTAGCAAACTATCACCAGCAGCTTTCTCCTCTTGCTCCACCTGTTCCCTGGAATTTTAAAGGATATATTACTTCTCATTCCTGCACACCAGGCCCCACAATGCTGGACAGCAGGAATAAAGAGGTGCCACACTTTGGTCTGCACACCCAAGTACGGACTCACAGGTAAATGCCAATGAAAGTAACATCAGCATTCCAGTGTGGGAGCCACTGACCTTTGGAACACACGTCCCAGATTCCCACAGCACCACATGCAGACACTTCTGGATGCTGAGAAAGAACTAATTGGATGTCTTTCTATTAAACAATTAAACTACATTTTAATCAGCAGCTGAAAGCTTCAGAGCATTCAGAGGAAGTGCAATGGCACTGAAAGGTGCAATGTCACTTTTTTCTGGATGCAGTGGAAGAGTTTTCTAAAAACAGGCCAAGACAGGAAATACCTATGAACACATCCCCAGATGTCAGTGCTCCCTGTTCACACAGGCACTGGCAGTGCCCAGGGAGGTGCATGGGGCACTGCTGGATTCCTGCCCCAAGAGCAGCTGTGTCTCCTGGTCACTGCTGTCACACAGGGCCATGTCCCACAGAGCACACACAAATCCATGGATGTGAGCTCACAGGCCCAGCCTCACACTCCCCATCAACAGCAGCACTTCCAAAGGACAGAGCCCAGATATGGAGACTGCTTTGGCCATTTTTGCCAAAGAAAATTCAATACCTAATTTTGACATGTCAAAAATGTTTAAGCTGAAATAACCTAAGAAATATCACATGTGCAATACTACTTAAACTTTATTTAAGCTAAGAACATGACCAGAAGGAATGGAAGAGGCCCAACATCACTGCTACTACTGCTGTCATCACACTGGACTGGCTCTTCCCCACCACTGACTGATTCAGCCATGGAGGTGAGAAGCAAAGGATGAAAGGCCAGGTGAACTCTGGCCAGGGACAAAAAGTTCCTTCAAAACAAGGAGGGGGGAACTCACCAGAAATCTACAAAGTGGCTGCACTGCACCCAAAGTGACAATAAGCCCTTTGCTATGGGGAGAGAAAGGGGAGACAGTGCAGACATCAGCCCTGGACACTACCCAGGCAGAAGACAGCTCTAAACACTGACCCTGTGACGGTCCTGGCAGGAGACAGCTCTGGACACTGACCCTGTGATGGTCCTGGAAGGAGGCAGCTCTAAACACTGACCCTGTGAGTGGTCCTGGAAGGAGGCAGCTCTAAACACTGACTCTGTGAGTGGTCCTGGAAGGAGGCAGCTCTAAACACTGACCCTGTGATGGTCCTGGAAGGAGGCAGCTCTAAACACTGACTCTGTGAGTGGTTTCACAAAGCCACTCACAGCAGCTAATTTTTACATGAATGAGAAACCAGTCACAACCAAGATCAACACGTGTGAACACACTTCAGGAAGACAGAATGTTTTATGATTGTTCTCATAAAGAGTTTGACAACTGCATACCTGAAGGGCACTACCCCTCAAGCACAGCGAGGCTGGAGCTGCAGCAGCTGCCAGGGAAACTCCTGCAGGGAGAGGGGATCCCTCTGCATCTGCCCTGGCTTTCCCAGCACAGGCACTGCAAATAAACACCAGAGACTTTATCCTCCTCCTCCTCCTCCTCTCCTAGCATATGCTGAAACCCAGGACTGACATTTTCCAGCTGACTTCCTGCAACAACTCCAGACTCACTTTTTAACTTTTTAATACACATTGACAGCATGTAATTTTTCCAGAGTTATAAACACAGTCACTATGAGTCTCAGATTCCCAGATTTTGTTTTCTCCATGCACCACCTTTTCCCATATACTCCCCACTTCCAATCCTGTAAATCAAATACAGACAGTGCCCAAGTTTCTGTGTGAGTAGTAAGGAACAAGTTGGTTTGTGTAAGTGTAGCACAGCACAGAACAGTTCTCCTCCTCAGATGGTCTTCATGCTATTTTTGTCTCAAAGCAAATGAGTATTTTGAAATTATCATTATTATTACTAAATAGCATTCCTTCTAAAATACCTCAGCTGTTTAACTGCTAGTTTGCCCAGAAGGCAGAAAAAACAATTTGACTTCATTATAAACACTTTTTTTTTTTTTTTTGCAACATGAAGAAAATGAACTATATTTTAAGTATTTGATTGCTGGAAAAAGAGAAGTAAAGCACATCTTTTCAAACCACATTGTCTTGCTTTCTTTATAATTACTGATGCAGAGAGATTCATCTTTCAATACTTTAAACTGCAAAAGGTCATTGGCATCTGTAAGACAGCTCTGCTCATCAGACCATCTAACCAGCCTTTGGGGATCTCCCTGAGGCTTAATCCCTCATTAACTGGGATATACAGAGCTGATGGTCAAATACTCCAGGTGATCTTGTCATGGCATAATCTCTCTAATGCCAGAGCTGAGCACCTACAACATTCTACAAGCTACATTAACAAAAAACAACCCCAAACCCTTCATTTCAGGGATAGCCCTCCAGAGCCACAGAAGTGATCAAAGAACAACCACATAAACACAGAATTGTTATGGTTCCTTCAGTCCCAAAATCACAGGTACCAGAAAGAGCTGTGGCAGTACCAGCTGCTATCAGTAATTTGTCAGCTATTAGCAGGGAAGGCAGTGAGACTGCAGCCCTGATGAGAACAGCTGAATTGAGTTTGTTTAATGATGCTGCTCTGCCAAAGCCCTGCAGACACTTCCCAGCCTGTGCAAGGGCCAGCACAGCACCAGCAGCTCAGCTCCCCACTTCTCAAAATGCTTTCCATTAAACATCTGCACTGAGTCAGCTTAAGAGCTGGTGTGCAGTGATTTAGAACAATTCAACAGCAACTTGTTTGTAACTAACTGAAGTCTCTCTTTAGTATAATTCACCCTTTTAGTGAACTCACACAACCCTTTTTTTAATGAATCAGTAAAGTTGTGTCTTTGCCAAATACAGGACTCTAACATGAACTTGGTTTCATTGTTTTTTATGTGAAACAAAGACCAGTAAATGATTGGGGCTTCCCTGTAGTTCTTAAGAGATGAAAAAGACAATGACAAATTTCAGCCAAAAACTCCAGCCACGAGTAAGAGAAGGCTTTGTTCCAGCCCACCCTAGATCCTGTCTCTGGCCATACAAGGATCACAACTCACCACGGAGAGCTGGCTCCACGTCGACCTCAGGGGCTTATAGTGAAAAACAACCTTGTCATCCAGCTTCTGCTCCTGGGGCTCAGACTCTTCATCAGAATCTATGTCCAGAGCTTTCTCCTTATAGTTCTGATATAATACAGCATTTTCTGTCAAATAACAACAGTATGTCAGCCATTGCTAGAAAGTTAGTTTAGATGTTCCCATAAAAATTTAAAGTAACATTTAAACAATGAAAGAAACCAAAGTGTCACTGTGATGCTCACACTCCACAAGACAAAGATAGCAACTGATTGGGGCTGGACAATGGTGCAGTACAGTGACAATGGATCACTGTACCCAAAGATCCTCCCAGACCGAATTAAAGAACAGATGTGGCCTTTGTCAAGAAAAAAAATAGCAAACAATTTTTTCTTCCTTGGTTTGCTGTACCCAGTTCTGTAATTAACCAGCAATTAGAAAATGGGGTTGTGTGTCAGTGGAGCAGTCACTGATCTACAGGTCTCACAATTTTCAGGTCCAGGAAAAGCACACTGCCCATGCCAACCCCTCTTGTGTCCACTCTCAATACTGTCTTCGCATTTCACTGTCTTCCAATGTCAGAGATCTCTGGTCAGAACTATTCTGAACAGAAAATTAAAAGCCTGTCTGAGTAAGCAGGAGACCTATGAACCTTAAGCCTGAATACACTCATGGTGTATTTGAGTTGTGCCATCATTAATTCAGTACTATCAGTGGCAAAGGAACACGGGCGTGGAGCACTCCCAGCCTCGCTGGCCACACACCCTGGGCAACAGCAGTGAGCAAGGACAGAAATTCAACACCACAAAAACCCACAGACAAATTAAGCTGTTAAGCAGGCAGGCTCTGAAAGGTACTCTTAGATGGGCCAGGCTTTGGACAGCATCCAATCTTCCCCTACAAGAGAAAGGGGAGCTGAAGTGGAAGTTTGGCTGCTCCAGGCAAGGCCCCAGCTCCTGCAGTCACACCTGGCTGGGTGGGTCTGTCCCACCTGCTCACACCTACAGCCCTGCCCCGGTGCCACAACAGGGGTGGCCTCTGGAGCAGTTCTTCAGGAAGGGTCTCTAGAGTTTATACACCTTCAACAGAGGAAACTGTTACAGCAACTGAATTGGGAGGCATTTCAGAGAAAATGACTAGCTGGGATCATCCAAGACAGAAGGGAGCCATTGGAAGAGAATCTAAAAATCATCATCAGGAGATGGAGTGAGAAGAGATAGAAATAAAGAGTAGGAAAGGGGTTGATGCAAAGAGTGGGAAGCTTTGAAAACAGAAACAAGAGGAAGGTAACACAGCAGCTGAGATGACCTCAAGGATGCATTGAGAAAAGCCAAGAGCAGCAGTTGTTATACCAGAACTTCTGTGGACTCATCATAGATGTTTTCTCGTTCAGACATTGGGAAATGCAGCAAACTTGGCAAAACCCAGAATTAACAGAGCAACACAAAAATACAGCTCCACAGACAGTGTCTTCTGACACTTAAATTTGAAGCCTAGGTAACAAAAAGAGAAAATGCTTAGAGTCCAAGTGTTCAGCCCAGCACCCTCAGCTGATGAGAAAGCAGGAACAGCTGTGTGAACGCCAGTCCGGAACAAGGACTCAGGTGTGAGCTGCAGGGATGGCACCAACCCATAAGGGCTCCAATGTCCTGCACCTGGGCAGAGTCCCAGGACAGGCAGGCAGTCCCACATAAAGCAGCTCACTATGGAACTGCCAGGGCTGAGGCAAACACAGCCAGCAGCTGACTTTTTGGCAGGGACAGGAGCATAAGTGGAAAAGAAGCCCTTGACACACCTTTTTAGTCTGCCACTTCACAGTCTTTAAAATATCCCTAAGGTATGTCTAGTGCCACAATGATAGTCCCACATCTCAGTCCCGTCACTGAAAAACGAGGCACTGAGTCTCTGACTGCAGACAAAGGAAGTGTGCAACACAGTCCTGTTAGCAACTCTGGACAGAACAGGGCTCACCTTCCCCATCGAACGTCCCTTGTCCTTTCAGCATCTTCTGCAGACAATTTTAACAGAAAAGAGAGATATGTTAGGAGGAGGAGAACACAAAATAATCACAGTGACAAGAATGTTTTGCTCAAGACCTGAGCACCAAATTAACAGGCCCTAATCTGTAAACTTTGGATGTTGGACAGGAGCTCAGTAAAAACAACTGTGTCACCAGAGAAAGTGAAAAGTGCTCTAGTTTGATTTCTCTCATGCCTTGTTTAGATGTATTTTCCCTGTGTTTCAAAAACACACTACACTGGCTTGAGAGGGGTTCAGTGAACTTGCAGCTCATCCTCTGTCCCAGGGCTTTCCGCAGAGGCGCGGCACTGAGAGGCTGCCCTTCCACTCTGAGCACTTTGTGAAGGAGCCTTCTGAGAGCACAACAAACCTCTGAAATCAAACAGCTGTTCTGCTGCAACAAGTCCCAGAGTGCAGGAGTCTAATGAAACACTGCTTACAGAGAACTCTGTAAGGACAGGACAGTGGCATGTCCTCCTATCTTACACAGAACTCACTGTTTTAAGTCTACTACCAAACCAAACCACCCCACACCCTGCAGATGTTCAGGATTTCATCAAGTTCTACTTCACCACTTGCAGTGTTTTCACAGAAGCATCCACTACCATAATTTCAAACTGGCTGGGAACTGCCATAAAGCTGATAATTATTTTAAAAGCTACAGCATCAGCTCTTGGCCTGGCATACCATATTACACAGAAATCTATTAACACATTTCATACAGTAACAAGTTATGTTTAAAATAAGGAAACACAATATTACACTATGATAAGTAAAAGAACACTATCAGTATGTCTTTATAATACATTAACATTCAATGTAAGTCTAACTACAGGAATCTAAGGGATTACAACCAAGATTTACAAACAGGCATGCTGCTTTTACTTTCAGGCATTAAAATTAAGATACCTGGAGCGACTTCTATCCATTTAAAAATCCCTCAGCGACTTTTAAAAATACTTTGAAAGTAATGTCTCAGATAGAGAAGTGGGGGAGGAAGCTCATTTTAATGTCTCTATTCTAGCATGCAGACTTTATTAAGACAATGTCTCTTTTTTTCCTGTTTACTCCTTTGTGGGACACAGGTTTTAAGCCCGTGGTTCGGTTGTGAAAGCTGGAGAATCTGGCGGGAAAGGCAAGCAGGAGGCAGCCAGCAAAGGCTCTGAACCTCCTGGATTTCAACAGAGCCCATCATCTCCAACACCTCACTTGGAAAACAGCACTTTTCAAACTCACAGTAACTGAAAAGTTTTGTGTTTGCAAAAAAAAACCCAAAAAACAAAAAACCAACCTGAAAACTCCCAGCATTTATGGAAAATGCAGAATCAGCAGGCCACGCTCCCACGGAGCCAACACCTTCACCTATCAGCACACCTTACCTTTATCCTCCCCAGGCTCGAGAACTTCTCTTTATCTTCAACCACCGCTTTCAGGATGGGCTGGGACATTCTGTTTTTCTTCTTGCAGTTGTTGGAGCCGTCCAGGTCCACGCCGCTCACCACGGCCCGGCGGTAGGACGTGGAGCGGAGCCCGCGCCGCAGCGCGCCCGGGCCGCCCTCGGGCTCGTCCTCGGGGTCGCTGCCCAGGGCCAGCCGGGGGGGCTCCACCAGGCTGCGCACCCTGAGCCCCCGCTCGTG